TCTACACTTTAGCATAATAGCTTAACATTATAACCATTAGTTTTTCTCATCTGAGCAATAAGACTATGGAATTGAGTGCAGCAGCAGCCCCAAAACGCCAAATACTTAGATATTGATCTATGACCTTGACACGACCTTGACTTATAACAATGACATTGATCTCAGGTCACTTTATCATTGGTGATCAAATGTCAATGTAGCCCCACACAAGCAAACTACCTAGATATTGACATTTGACCATATTATGTTTTTGAACCATAGATATTGACTTTGACCTCATGTCGCTTTAACATGAGTTGCCAAGGGCCACAGTAGCCCCCAGGGCCTCAAAACTCCAAATACTGAGATATTGACCTATGACCTTGTAGGAATGACCTTGACCTCAGGACACATATCCATGGGTCCTCACGTGAAGCAGCATCCCCAAAACGCCAAATATTTAGATATTGATCTTTGACCTCGAGATGATCTTGAGCCTAAACAGTGACATTTACCGTAGGTCACTTTATCATGGTGATCAAATGTTACTGTAGACCCATAGAAGCCAACTACCTAGAAATTGACTTTTGACCTTGAAATGACCTTGAAATCAGGTCATCTTATCATTGGTCGCCAAAGGACACAATTGTTCTCAATTGCCTTTAAACATCAAATTGCTAGATATTGACCTTTGACCTTGAAATAACCTTGAAATCAGGTCACCTTATCATTGGTCACCAAAGGTCACAATTGTTCTCAATTGCCTTTAAACGTCAAATTGCTAGATATTGACTTTTGACCTTGAAATTACCTTGACCCATTCAGACCTTGAGCTCAGGTCACCTCATCATTGGTTGGGAAGGGTCAAATCATCGCCCAAGTGTTTTAAAAAGCCAACTACCTAAATATTGATATTTTTCTTGAAAAAGAATACACATTTATGAACAAAAATGAAACATACAAAGTTGAAAACCAACCGTTTGAAAATAAAATGCTGCTAATGTTTCAAAACAAATGTATCTGTATTGTAAAAGTAATATTCAAATTGAATAAACTGAAAGAAAAAGACTTCAATTATTTAATTTTCTATCAGATTTAGTAAAATTGTAACTATTCTAATGTAAATGTTGTAATGAAAGCTCACATATATCTTGTTGCATATCAGTTGAGTGCAGCTGCTACAGGTATCACTCTGACACACATCCATGAACAAATCAAACTTGATGTTATGCAAATCGGCATCTTTTAAATTGACGTCAAAGCAGAATGTTGGATAAACCATCAACACAGGTGTCACAAGTTGCATTTATAAAATAATTCCTGCCTCATCACTATTACACCCATTTCTACAAGGCGTTGTCTCATCTAGATCACTGTCTGCAAGCTAAAAAAGTATCAAATTCACTGCTTGCTTTATCACAATAAACTTTTGATACAAATAAGTGCAGTAAAACATGCAAATGGAAGGCCCATTTGATATTAGTTTGTAAAGATAGTCCACTTTGGTGTTGTTATTTTACTGCAATAACTATAATGCCTTTTTCAAAACAGTCAAAACATTTTATTCCTATTTTACCTATTAAATGATTTTTATATATCCGAATAATCGTCATATTCGTTTTTTTGCAAAGTTAATAATCGTAGGGCTCACACAAGGATCAACTTTATTGAAGGATTTTCGTACTGGTATTGCCCTGCCTCTCTAAGAGCAAAAGCAATGAATTACGATTTTTCAGTTGAAATAATGAAACAAACACAATGTTATTATTTAATTCAATATTTAATTAACAAATAAAATTGTGTTTAACTTAGTATTTTTTCAAAACATCACTAAATATGAAAAAGTGGATCCTTGTTTGAGCCCTACAATTATTTTCTTTGCCAAAAACTAACATAATGTTAATTGAAACATTTAGAAAACATTGAGTAAGTAAAATAGGAATATTATCATTAGTAACGATAACCTTTGAATTAAAATGGCATTTCAAGGTTACCAATGTATAATTCTTCACCATTATTATTTTTAATAAAAATGACCACATCCAAATGGACTATTGTAATGCCTCCTATTTCATATACTCACTGTTATTATTTGAAAAAAATCAACTCATCTTTTTGATGGTTGCACCTTGGGGCAAGCCGTTCAGCCCTTTCGTGTCACCTTTTTGACTGCAGACAAGTGAAAACGAATAGTCAATGAACCAATCTATAATGCCTATAGGCCACTTCTTAGTAATCTACCCCAAAATCGGTTTAGACTAACTAAGCCACTTTGGAAGCGATTTGGCGCATACTATAAACTAGGTGGTGGTGAGATTTTGTCATGCTTTGTATAAATGTGTGACGATCTATTCTATCATCTTCGTTCACTCGGCTCCCGTCGGTCGGATGAACACAGTGAAGACCGAAGGTGTGAAGATGCTATACTATACTATTGCCACATAAACAGGCAGAGGTGTCTCCACAATGACCTCAAACCTATGCACTCTTGAGCATTTTGTACTAAACGGTGAGCAACACCAAAAACGAGAGTTTGATTTGCCAAACAATATCTGTTACCCTTTAAAGCTCATCAGACCATGTAACAAATCATTCACAATGTTTACAGATATGTATTGTCTTTAGTGTAATCGTCTACCTTGTGTACAGAGTCTATTTATAACCTAGGCTCACCCCAGTATAAACTATATTACAGATGACCCGTGCAAATGAGAGCCTGGGTAAAAATCATTTTAAACCTTAACTTCTTAAAAAGGAGCTTGGTCTCCACTCTTTCAGTTTATAATATATCTCTGGACTCACTGAGCCAATCAGAGTTTGTAGTCGAAATACAGACGACTTTCTATATACAGTCATTTTCTACAACATCATCCCATAGTGAGCATGTACTTTTGCGAAGAAAAATGTTCAGTGTTGGTAGGTGTTCATTACAGAGTGTAATTTATACAGAAGTCAGTAGAGTATGTGTGGAGGAAGGGTGTCTTCACTAAGACAGATTTTACAGTGCACTGTATATACAATCTAAAATATGTATATACATAGTATAAAGAAATCGTACTCTGTTTGATACAAGAAAGGATGTTTCAATTTTCATGATTTTGTAACATGAGCTCTGGGGAATTCACTAGTCCTAAAATCAGTTTTCAATGTCATCTTTTATGCAGATATCAAATATGCTGTCACTTTGAGCAAATTTTGAATATTTAATTACTGAAATGAACATTATTTCTCTGCTACTGCAGACCTGTCACCCATAATAACATGAATAAGACACCAGAATTAAAGATGGTCCAAAGGCTGAGAAATGAAGAAAATGTGAACGATTTTAGTATATTGAATTTGTGATTGTGTTAAACTAGTTGAACAGTTAGTGTAATTATTTGTTTCAAACTTATCCCGATTGATTGATTACAGCGCATTATTTTAGGCAAATGTCAATCCCATGCTTGAATAGAATGTCAATATGTGAAATTGTGCATAATGGCAGTTTTCAATTCAGTGATTTAACAGTTTAATCTATTATATGACATTTTTTCATATATTCTATATTTGACTAAATAATTGGTTGAAGCACATGTTGCACAATGATGGCTCAACATTTAATTTAATTCAATTCAATTCAATTCATTCATACAATCAATCATTATGTTACATTTTTATTTATAGCAGGTGGCACCACAGGTGATGCTCATTACCTGTGCAAAGTAGCGCCGCAAATTGCTCTCCTTAATGAAAAATAAAAGCCGCTATTTGCCCTAAGGTTCCAATACACCATTGGAAAGGTGAGAGTGTCAGCTTTAACCCTTTCATCACCGAGGGGTAAAATTAAGAAATAAATCATAATTTTTCAAATCAATTTTTTTATCAATGAATTTATATTTTCAATTTATTTGTTCATAATAACAAATCTAGTGTCCTAAGAGACCTGCTAGTGTATAATTAAGATGTTTGACCTCAATGGTTATGTTAGCATTTTGTCTTTATAGTAAAAAAAAATATGTGAAAATAAGTCCAACTTTCTTTTTAACATCATATATTTCATTTTTTTGTAAAAAAGGAGAATACACTTCATTAGTATAAATAATATATTTCTGTCACTCCCCATGACCAATTGTGTGTCTATGCTTCTCTAATTAGTTCATATGTGGTTGGGAGGGTGGTTGTATATAAAAATATATGTTTTACTGAATGCCTGTCTGACCTGTTTCTCCGGAGAAACTGTTCATGGAATCACTTGTTATTTCATATTGGGTATGCCTGTGATAAGATATCACATGAGAAAATAGACATGGTAAAAGACATGGCTGCTGCTTTGAAAATGGCATACATTTTTCCTGAAAATAAAAGCTTTTCATTTGTAACCAAAGTACATATTATCAGTAAACTATTAGAAATGTTTTAAATAACTTATCAAAAGTACATCTATTTTAGATAGAGGGGCAGGATAGAGTGGGGGTCAAGAAAACAATAATTTTTTGTTAATTTTTGGACCTTCAGAAAATATAGCTTGCCCCCAACCCCCTAGTTTTGCTTGACCTACGGCCTCACGTACTAGCACTACACGACTGGCTACGTCCCCAAGCTAATGTTTTACGAGCTATAATATTGTTTGAGTTTGTTCCTTCTATATCAACCAAATAATAGGCATTTTAAAAAAAAATTAGGCATTATTTTTGAAAAATTGGGCGCTTATTTTCTTTTGGGGCCCCTCTCTTATTTTCGGGGCCACCTCTGGTGTCTTGTTATAACACCCTTGTAATTACAAAGTTGCGAAGTTGTTAATGCGAAGTTGGTTAAGCATAATGAAAATGTTCTGAAGCATCCCATCTTGTAGCGATTCTGGTTGAAGTGTAAGTAGTGTTACAAGTAGTGGTAGAAGCAGTAGAAACAACAACACTTGAGGTTATTGCTATGCATAGATGTGGTAGGGCCTGGGCAAATAGAAGTAGCATTTGGAGATCTGCTAACATCATGACAAGTAGTAGCATTATGTGATTGCTCAGCATGGTTTTTATTTTCAGAATCGTGTAAAAGAAGTAATTGCTTGGCGAAAAAAGCAACAAGAAAAACTAAAGTCAAAACAGGATATTGCAGAGATTCAGAAAAAAGAGTCTGAGCACCAAGAAAAGTACACAGAATTTAGGAAACTCAAAATGGATCTGGGGAAACCGAGGTTGAAACAGCAGCGTATAATGAAGAAAGAAAAGGAGGTCACTAGTTCCCATACTGGCCCCCAACTAGCTGTTGTCCTTAGAGGTAGTTACTAATTTTATTAATGTAAAAACCATATTTTCAGTTGAAAACATTCTAATAATTAGACAAATTAATGAATATATATGTTATGTGGTATATATGTGCACAGCTCTATGTCCATAAGTGTGATATTATTATAGATTGTCGTCTATGTGTAAGAATATCACATTTATGGATGTATATAGCTGTGCAATAAATGGTTATGTAATGAAACACATAAGTGATATGTTATACAGAAATAATAAACATGCTATAAGTGGGTTGGAAAGTCTCTCTATTATCATTAAACTGTTCCTTATTTCCAGGTGATGTTGATGGTTCTGTTGAGGCCATATTAGACATGCTAGATACGTATGAATCAAAACAATGTCTACTTGATGTGGTGAATTACGGAGTTGGAGTTGTATCTGAGGCTGATGTTGACCTTGCCGCTGCTTTCGATGGTAATTTGAATATCTGTTTGTCCAAGGGGTCTGTCAATGTAGGCCCTTGTATGCCCACGAACAATGACCTTTCCGATGAACATCTCTCTATATGATTTTCCAACACCCATGAAACCAAAATATAATGGCTAAGTTCATGATGTCATATGTTGTAGATAGCAGTGTTTCCAATCATAAATAGGATGAACTTATTGCTAATTTAGGAAAACTTCTGAGAGTTATGTCTGCCACCATAATACAAAATGGTATATCATGAGTTTAGACAATATGTCTCTTTTGTGCTTCAAAATGCGACAGAGTTTATAGAAAGGTCTATTAATCATAATCTTCTGAGACAATTTTAAAATATTGACATAATTTATAATATTCTCATGAAGAATTTTGAGTTGTGATAAATTTGCTATTGTCCCTGTAAAGTTAAATAATTACAAGTGCAGAATTTACTAGAGATATAAACTTTTTATTTAAACTTCAGTTGTATAGCTCGAAATTTCTTAATCAGGGGTGATATGGCTGAGCATTTATTATCCATATGTTCAAAAGATCAATGTCTGAGGGCAATATATAGAACCTCGCCTTCATAGAATTTGCCAATGACATAGAATGTAAGATTCAAAAATCAGACAAAACCCATATTTGTTCCATTTGTGGAGAAAGCTGGAAATCATTGTATGTTGCCTTGGCAACTAGGTTACAAAACACTGTTTTACCAAATTATTCTAATTTTTGCAGGAGTAGTAATAGGGTTTAACGTGACCTTATCAGATGCTGTTAAACGTCATGCCAAAGCTCAAGGGGTAACGATTCGTCATTTTAACATAATCTACAGACTGATGGAGTTTCTAAAGGAACAGCTTACTGAGAGACTTCCTTCGACTCAACAAGAAAATATAATAGGTGGGTCACCTATAATGCAATGCATCATAAGAGATATGTAGAACTGTTAAATGATGTGTATTTTTGAGAAAATTGTATTTTAAAAAATAAAATCCTGATATTAATTCATTCTGAGAACCAATTTTCTGTAATTGATGCATTTCTACAGTGATTAGTTCAAAAATGTAATCACTTGAAGTTCTAGAGGTAATTGTAGTTCATGTATGTACAAAGGTGACACCATTATTATTGCACAATTCATTTCATTAAAACTAAATATTCCACTTTAGGTACAGCTAATGTTCAAGCCACGTTTGAAATAGCTGAAGGCAAAACCAAGGTGCCTGTTGCCGGGTCCAGGTGCACTAAAGGGCTGCTGAACAAGAAAAAACTGTTTAAAGTCGTCAGGGATGGAGATACTATATATGAAGGTACATGTACACTGTATTGTAAAACAGAAATTTCTTCATATTTTTTAGATATTATTTCCTTAAGCTTAAATTTAACAGAATCATTCAACTTAAAATTAAATCTAAAAGTGGATTTTTGTACTCCCTCTGACTAACCAAATTGAATTACTAGTAATTGTTCCAATGCACATCTTGCTATAATACATTTGAAATAATAAATATTTACTCTAAAAATATATTATTCCAGGCTCCTTGACATCACTAAAACATTTCAAGACTGAAGTGGACACGATTAAAACAGACGTCGAATGTGGAATTGCATTTAAAAACATTAATGTTCCATTAAGGCCAGGTGACACTGTTGTATGTTATGAAAATGTGGACGTTAAACAAACTATTGATTGGGACCCTGGATTTTAATGTTAAAATGCTGTAAAAATAATAAAACAATATTTATAAATGCTATAATTATACATTCTTTTTGTCACTTGTAATTCCACATTTTCACAAAGAAAAGACAAGTCTCGGTTTGGAGAACACTCTACTGGGCTAATAATTTTTGTATGAAAAATATAGAAATAATACCCAAATTAAATTATTTATATATTCAAAAGAGGGCACTTAAATCTACAATATGCAAAAATATCAAAATTGTCTGAAGCAGGCGTAATGTGCAGTAGACTGATTCAATAAAATTCAATATGAAAAATATAGAAATAATACCCAAATTAAATTTAGGATATTAAAAAGAGGACATTTAGATCTACAATAGTACTATGTAAAAATATCAAAATTGTCCAAAGCAGACGTAACATGCAGTAGACTGATGGACTTCGTTCTCTAAACCAAGATGGTCCTTTGGGGAAATGTCATTCAAAATAATTCTAACAAAATTTTTCAATTTTGAACTATATATTTGTCCCATAACATGTAAATATCTACATAAAAATATGAAAAATATTACCCATAATATAAATTGTGTATAAATTATTGTATAGTATTTAATAATAATCATAATAAAAATTGCATTAAAAATCTCACCATGTGAATCTACCTTATTTGGCCTATATGCCAAAATAGATGGCTGTTTTTATTATCCTCATGTCACTACAGTAGTATATCCAGATGAGGGGAGGTCTATTTCTTTTATAAATTACATTGGAAAGAACGCATTGATATTCTCACCTTGTTTGCTCTTTCATTTACAAGGACATTTTTTCTAGCACTTCATATCAAAGCATTAATGTTACAAATAAAAAAATTGTTATACAACAAATCAAAATATATACTGTATTGTATTGTCTTTTGTTTACCTCCAATGAAGGTGAGGAATACCTCTTTGGCATACAGTATATTCTGTTTTTTCATGTTCTTGATTTACTCATGTAATCATGACCCAGACAGACCCAGGAACTCCTCTTTGTCTTGTGGACTACTAAGCCACCCCTTTCTTCATAAATGGATTACATATATACTCGTATTCTGCAGTGTTCAACAGCTAATAATTGTAATACCATAAAAGGAATTACAAAAATGTCACCACCTACCATTTGTTACAGACGCTGAACACCATCCATAGAAAAGTTGGAGACTATATAGTAATACGTCACCATTTCTGGTGGTGGCATAACAAGGGTGAAGACTAGTCTCTTATTTGTATACATGAAAAGCATGAATAGTTTAATTCATTGTAAGCTATTCAGGTTAATTGTGCACTGACTATAAAATTTTAATAAAAAACTAGTTTTGAGCAAAAATTATACATATTAATTAAAATTAAATACATGTCCACATTTTAAATGCCTTTGTTTGTAATACTAGATGTACATTTATGTATATCAGTACATCACATATATATATGTATAAGGACATGCACATGAATATAGACAAAATAATACATATTTATGTGAAGTATATTTTTAGTGCCTTTTGCACTTTACCCTTATGGAATACAGTATGTCCTTATGAATTTGTAAGTATGCAGTCATCAAAATTACGTGTTCATTCAAATAAAGATTCGCATGATCTGAGCTTCATTCATTCATCCAGTTGATTGGTTCTTTTTGGAGAACGTAAATATTCAGCATTTTTGTAGCCCTTAAGCAAAAATAACATTGGAATGGCTTAATGTGGCTATTCTTTACAATGTTTAAATTGGTACTAGTTTTACAGGTCAGGTGTTCATTCCTTTATTTATAGATTATGTCTTTCCATAATACTAATCCACCAAATGGTCAAACTCCATACTTTTCAAACATCTCATGATGAACTCCATTGGAACAAGTTATAAGCCAGTCAGATTCAATGTTACAAGCACACTGGTGATGTCATCATTGTTTTGAGCCAATTGGATTTAATGTAACATACTAATGTTGAACAAACCAAGGAGTGAAACTGCCCTCTTTTGGTTCTGGGAACTGAAAAAATAAAAACATCAATAAAAAATAAATACTTGATAAAAAAATTTATTCCAACATCTGTCTTCAAACATTCCAAAATTAAAATTATTTTTTAAAATTTATTCACAATTTTCTTTATTTAAAATCAATCAAACCCAACTCTAATGTTATTTTAAATAAAGTCTGATTATTTTTTCATAAGTTATCTACACATTTTCTTTTCAAATTCCTGCCATGTCTTGCCTGTATTGTATTTTGACATAGATACAGAAATGGCATATGTACCTGCTTTGTGAATTCATCTGAGCATGCCATGCGAATACGTTCTGAAGAAGCTGGGCTGTCCAGTCTAAACACACCGGTGACCCCTGTGTCTGCACGCGCTGATGTGATTGCGTGTTTAATGGCATAGAACACAGTAGATGCAAGAATCAGAGGCGGCTCTCCAATGGCCTAAAAAACATCACGGGCTGATGATTATAGGCTGCTCACTTTATAGAATGATTTTAACTGATTTATTTAAAATCGATTTTCATAGTAATAACAAAATGGGTTGATTGATCATAAGGACCTGTATCTAGGTAAAGGAGCTTTTCAGTAGTTTTTATTTGGGTGACAGTTTTATAGATGCCAAAGTACATGGCTGCATGGCAGGTGACAACATGTTAGTTACAGTGAAGTGGAGGAATATTACCTTAGATGAATAAACTGCTTTTGGATTGGGCGAATCTTTCAAGAGTGTAACATTGAATTCTATTGGCACATCTCCAAATCCTGGGATTTTGTATGCCCCAGGTCCTCGTGTAAGAAGTGTTCCATTGGGAGAGTACTTATGCTGCTCAAGGGTAAACAGCCCATAGCCCTGTATGAAAATAAACCAGTCTTCAAAATAAATTCATCCACATTAAACAATTACTTTTTTCTGATACTCAAGATTACCTCTGCCTTGCATAGTGCATGTATGCATATCAAGACTAAATTCAGGTGAATGTCCCATGTGCAAATATTAAACGCTTGCTCTTATTGTAACTTATACACCACGATACAAAGATGTCAACAGGAATGAATCCAAAATAAAGAACATTTACTCTAAAATAGCTGTTTGGTGCAATTTACTTAGTGAAGTAGCCTTTTTATTAACTTATGTATAATGTAATTTGTAATTATCATGTTTTTCATATATTGAAAGCATATAATATATCAATCTTTAAATGACCTGTGCAAATGCTCCCTCTATTTGGCCAATGTCAATGACTGGGTTAAGACTGCTCCCAAGGTCCATCACTATATCGGTTTTAAGAACCTAACAACAAACTTACAAGAATTAATTAAAATGATATACAGTTACAAAGTTTGATTTCTTTATATATGTTCTTCGGTGTTTTATCTATTTTATTTGCAAGAATTGTATGATATACCGGCAGTACTATTTATTTTCCTATAATTACTTTTTATTAACTTTCTCAGCCATGTAAAGTTCATTGTCTATGAAGTCATGTTTCTAGTGAGTTTCTGTGATTTCCCCCATAATAAATTCCAATGGGTGTTATTTTGGAAGTTTGAATCTTGGACGTATGTCTCCATCTATAATAATTTTTGTTAACATTGTCTGTTTTATCCAAAAATAAAAGTGAAGGTTCTTCTGAAATACTGCCCATGGGTCACTTAACAGGGGTGATTTAACAATCAAATTCTTACCTTGTGATCGCCAGTGAGGCAGTCAATCTCCACCTCAGACACTGCAGCTCCAAATGAAAAGTAATTAAAAGGATTCCCAGAATTTGTTTCCCAGTCATATCCAAGATTAGGTGTCCTAAAATGTGAATTCAAAAACACTTAATGCTTTGAAAATAGGGCCTTGGTACTTTACATAGTGGCATATCAAATCATAGAACTTTACAATACATTTATCTTCATCATAAGTCACGTACCAACTCTTTCATTACATGATCGTGTGGTGAGATAAATATTTTTTGTGGAAGGGAAAATATTATTTTCGCAATTCTCGTGCTTCTTGTTATTATCATTATCATGAATGAAACTTTTTGGATAGTACCACGGTTGATTGCTAAGGAGGCCTTTTAGAGAGCTAACAATGATATACCCTGATATGAGAGTAGAGTCTTGTTACAAACTGAAGAAAACCTCTTTTAGGAGGCAAATTCAAATGAATGCAAATGGTAACTGCAATGGGATATAGCCAATTTTAGGAATCAGATCTTTTTCATCAATTTCAAAGTGAGTGCTCAATTTTAATTCTTACTTGTAGAATCCAGATGCAGAGAGGCTTACACGATCAAAGTATGCAGCATTTACCTGTGAAAAAGAAAACTTTTTATTAATTGAAATAATAATATGAATGGGGAGATTTGCTCAACTCAAGGCATCTTTTAGGGCTACGGTATAAGTGATGGAAAAATCAAAAAAATCCTTACCCAATCATTCCATGTTCCTTCAGGTTTAGCCTTCACAAATGGTTGGAGTCTGTCTTTAATTGTCTGGCAAGCTTGTAATACAGCCATACCATTGAGGTCTGAGCTTGCACTAGCAGCAGTGGCTGATGTGTTGGGGACTGTATTGGTACTTGTTTCACTAATATGGATCCTCTCTGCAGATACGCCAAGTGTCTTGCTTGCAACCTGCCAGATAAAAGAAACACTTAGAACTTGATCGTATTATGTAGAACAGTGGCTGATGTGTTGGGAACTGTATTGGTACTTGTTTCACTAATATGGATCCTCTCTGCAGATACGCCAAGTGTCTTGCTTGCAACCTGCCAAATAAAAGAAACACTTAGAACTTGATCGTATTATGTAGAGCAGTTGCTGATGTGTTGGGGACTGTATTGGTACTTGTTTCACTAATATGGATCCTCTCTGCAGATACGCCAAGTGTCTTGCTTGCAACCTGCCAAAATAACTATTTTTCATAAACATGTATGACCTGATTGTATTATATTGTATACTTTATTCACCTCTTGTATAAGTGAATTACAACAATGGTTTCAACAAGAGATAATAGCTTTCAATATTGCAATAACTTTCATATTGTGTGTAAGTATTTGATATTTACTGATGGCAAAATTTCGAAATGACAAAAAACATCCTCTGATCTCATGTATTCTTTCCCCATGCCTAAAGGAACTCATTAAATGAACTCATTAAATATTTCTCACAGTATTACCTGAATCATTTTGGTATGCAGTCCCTGGCCCATTTCACATCCTCCATGAGTAAGTAAGACAGAACCATCAGTATAGACATGTACCAAGGCACCAGCTTGGTTTAAAAATGTAGCTGTAAATGCGATGCCAAACTTAGTTGGTACAGCTGCTATCCCACGTTTCCTCCATCTGCTTTCCCTGAAATTGAATCATTAAATTGAATTAAGTACTGTTATGTCCATTTCTTCAGCCATTCTTTTGTAACATGAAATGGATCTCTTTCAAAAGGATAGAGTACAGCGAAGCCTGTCAAATCTAAAGGACATGAAGATTGGCAAAAGTTTTGGGACTGACAGGTTTTCACTTTTCAAGGTTTTTAACATTAAAGTGGCAGTTTAAAAAATGGAAACGAAAAAGTGTTCACATTGAAAAGTGTTTAGATTACTCAACATTTAAGTGAACATTACTGAATATATAATCACCTGTTATATTCATCAATCTGTTCCAAACGTTTGTGGTAGTTGCTCTGTTCTAGAACCTGCTTCCAACAGCTTTCAATGTTACACCTTTCTATTGTCTGATTGTAGTGTGTCTTGTCTCCCTCTTTATACATGTTCATTTCACGAACCTAAAACAACATTGTTTCATACATTAAATGAAGAGATATGTATGGTTTTCTATCATTACTTATATATTAAGATACCAAGGTATAAATCTTGATTAGATATAACCCTAGAATTGCCTTGACAATGCATTTCAGTTATTATATCGTACCTTTGTTTGTGAAATTCCTAGCTTCGATGCAACATCAGATATCCAGTTTTCACAGACCATCAATCCCTGTGGGCCTCCAAATCCTCTGAATGCAGTATTGGATGGAATGTTTGTCTTGCAAAGGTGACCTTTGACCCTAACATTTGGAATCTTGTAGCAGCTATCAGAGTGGAACATGGCTCTTTCCATAACCTGGTATTAATCATAAAATGTTAGAGAATGTTTTAAATTTAATGAAATGTCTCATGACATAAGTTAAAACCTGTATATCCAAACACTTGATCTAACTTAAACAACTGTAAATTGGAAATAGCTTTATGATTCAATGTTTAATCTACCATTGAATTCAATTTTAAAATGCACCTTTGGCCAGTCTCTGTGACATTTTGGATATGACAGGTTTGACATTTTTTATATTTTTGGAATTTTGTCTAGCTGTGTTCAGTGGTAAATACTGATCTGGTTCACAAGGATCAAATGAAGATACATACAGCAGCTGACAGGTCTGTGCTACAGCCTGCATTCAGGTACAAGTCCACATCCAGAGCTTCAATTCTACCCTGTGCGGTGAATCCTATCTGTAAGTAAAATATCATCCATCAACTTTGTCATGATTAACAAGGGAAATGGTCCTTCAGGATGACTCCTTTTCAATTCTTTGTTTTTGATTCCACTATGTGATATGATCTTAGGAATATCATGGATATAAAAATGCTTCTGAAGAAAGATTAAATTTGCTAACAATGGTATACAATGGCATCAACAATACACTACACTACACTACACTACACTACTGAAAAAACATGACTTCACTTAAAGAAATATTTTCTGAGCACAAGGGTCAAGAGGCATACTTACTTTGTATTTGGCATATAAAGGATGGCGAGTTCCAGTGGTCAGCATGTCTTCATCACGATCCAACATACATCTCACAGGGCGCCCAAACCTATTACATATACAAATACGATAAGGCTAATAACATATACTTCAAACCAGATTTTTCATATTTTGAGATTACCTTTTTACCTCTTAATAAATTTATATGAGAGAGAAGTGGGAAAAACCAACTTCAATAATATATAACATAAATAATCAGTTTTCTTTTAAATAAGCGAAATACCATGAAGTGACAAACTAGCCCTAAAATCATCAAATAGGATATAAGTTTATTCAGAGGAAGCTGTGCATCGTTCAGATTATTGAGCAACCACAAAATAATCTATTCATTGTTGTAAAAGATGACATACTTTTGGGCAGCAACTACAGCAGGTAGACTAAGTGCTGGTATAGAACGGGTTTCCTTTCCACCAAATCCACCACCTTCAACAGTGAACACATATTGAAGAGAAAACAAGAAATGAACAACGTAGCAGAGAAAGTAGAGATAATACAATGGTAAATCATCATTAAACCAAACTAAATATTTTCTACCCTGTATGTGGCCAGCTGCACCATGTGACCACCATATATGGTAACATACCCATTCACACCCATATATGGTAACATACCCATTCTCTTAACTCTGCAGACAACATGGCTTGCAGGTACCCCAAGTGCACGAGCTGCCAGCATCTGAGTGGTGGTCGGGTTCTGAGTTGATGCAAAAATTTCCATTTCCCCATCTTCTCCTGTAGAATTTCAATACAGATATATGAGCGAATGGATTATTTGATTATTAGTATATTATTGCATATATTTCTTTCAAAGATTGTTTTGTTACTGATCTCCATATATCAGTTTGAAATAGAAATCTTGAAAAAAAATTTCTGAGATGACACACTTTTCTAAAAAGTATCATAACCTTCACATGAGTATGTTTTGAAACCAATCTGTTTTTTCAACTGAAAGTGCTACTGAAAACAAATACAACCAATCATATTGTTATATCAAAATATGTTCTGTAAAGACTACATTCATAATGTACATTCACTGCATTTGAATTTAACTTTATATTCATGCACACTAAATGGTACCTTTGGGGACAGCAATTACAGCATTAGTCTCCAGGTAGAAGTGTTCCTGACTCCCAAGATGGATCTCCCCCTCAAGGGTGTTCTCTACCTCCTTCAGGGCTGATTCAACATCACCATTAACAATAACACTATCTGTTGGAAAATATGAATCCTTGGCAATGGCCTCCTGAAATATAAGTTACCTTTTATGCAATGATTGTAGAGGTAGAAGCCCAGTGGAAGGTCATTAGGTCAAATTCCATCCCAAAATGGCAGAAAATGCATGCTAATATCTTAAGTGGCAGTAATAGTAAAAGAGGACAAGATGAAGCAATATTATGTGAAAAATGACACATATGGTAGATTCTTTATGATGTTTGGAGAAATCACTGCACGTGCATTATGTACCTACTTTGATGGTTATAATGGGATCATATGTTTCATACTGGATTTTAACAAGTTTAGCAGCTCTCTGCGCATGAGCCTGTGTGTCAGCAACTATGGCTCCAATAATCTGCCCCTGGCAAGTCACCTACAGTATTAGATATATTACATGACAAATACAATAGGATACAGGATGTGTCATACCTAAAATGATAGATATCATTGCATGTTGTTTATTCTCCATTTTACCCCACCAAGCCTTACTACAATCCAGTGGGAGGTTTATGCAAGCTATTATAATATAAATTTTATCAACTAAACTACTCAATACAATACAATACAATACAATACAATACCATATAAAGCAATATGATACATTGTTCATTTAAACCAATGCAAAAAATTGTTATTATCATCATAATTACCATTTCACTTCTGTAAATCTCTTCATCAATCAAAGCTGCCGGGCCAGTGTCGTTGCTCCCTGGAACATCTGTGTGATCAACGTATCCCACAATGCCTGGAATCTCTAGCGCCATCTTTGTGTCAACGCTGAGAATCTTTCCATGTGCAACTGTGCTCAATACAAGTGCAATGTAAAGCTCATCTACAAAATGTGCATGATAAATAGTAAAATAAATTAAATATCATGGTATTTCTATTGAGAAACAATGCTATTTAAATTTAAGTAAAACAAAATAACTGATAAATAATCAATAGATTAGGTGAAACAAAAGTTCAATAGTTTTGGATCATATCAAATGATAAATAAAAAAAAAATGCAATTTTAAAGAAAACTAAAAATAATTTCAAAAATTTAAATATGATTTTTTTCAAAAACAGCTTTTTAAAAATGAAAAGAACATTTAAGACAAATGATATTTGTGACAATTGATAATTTCTATATAATAAAGTATTCACATAAAGTTGACCATTAATAAATTGTGAAAATGAGCCCTTTTGTGTTCCTAATGTATCTATAATGCAACTAACTTTATGCATTTAATTATGTTAGTAGAAATGTCTATGATTAGATGGTGTTAGCATTAATTGATGCCTAAATTCTTCGAGACAATTTCTCAAATATCTGAACCTACATGTTTTTTTGATTTGACAGTATCCAAATACACGAGCAAGGGGTATTTTATTGAAAATGCTTCAAAGTAAGGACCATGGGGTACTAAATAAGCACTTTTGATGCAATTTGGTAGATGAAAACATCATACCACTATAATGTGGCATATCATCACAGTAAATTGCTTCCCCGGTAGCTTGCTTGGCTGCAGAGACATGTGGAACTGGTCGACCAACCGGATCAATTTCTTGCTGACCTTCAGGAACTTTTTCGAAAATTTGAACTGATTTTCTTTCCTCCCATTCATAATCCTTGATTGCTGTTAAATCCTTTCCGTGAAGCTGTTAGTCAGATTAGTATGAGGAGAAAATAAAATTAATGTTATGAGTTAATGCACACTAGTAGAGAGTGCAATATATTACACACAAAGGTTCCAATATATTACAAACAAAAGTTCTGTTCTTTGTAGACCCTTAATGCCACCATCATGCCCATTAGTAATGACACTATAAAATGTAATGTAATGAAATAGAATGTATTCACATTTAGTCTAATGAAGGAAAAGAGATTTTGGGACAAATAAAGGGTCTTAAAAGGACAGCACCTTTTCAAAATACATAGGTTAAAAGAAATCATAATGTGAACATAGTTCAAGAGGTCAAAATGAATGTGTTGAAAATGAATATAAATAGAGATGTGAATTGTTAGTTTATAGTATAGTCAGTAATACCTGGATATCCAAACACCTCTCAATTTTAAGGCCACAGACTTCCACGTTAAAAAAATTTGAAATGTGAACACCTTTACCATTTTTGTCAGTCCAAGTGGCATTTGGATAAGCAGGTGTTACTGTATATCTACATGTATTTTGAAAATGTTACTACACATTCACCAGATGATCACTAAAAGCATTAACACAAAAAGATTTCTAAAGCAATACTAGTACTTGACACATAGTGTTTCCTAATAAAACAAGCACCCCAAATCAAGAACATAAAATTTAGAACATTACATGCACAACCAGCATATATTCATATACATAATTTTAAGGTCTTGACCGACAAGCGAAAACTTACCTTAACCTTGTAGGATTTAACTTGAAGGAAAAACTTGAAGAAAAAACTTGTTGTTAGTGTACGTCGGTACTGTATTTGACCACCAGGTGCGCTGTCAGACAATGGAAGATCATTCTCCAACCAATGGCAGACGTCCTCCAATAATTTGTCATCCCAAGTTCTAAAATCAGAAAACCAACACTGCATTCCAAGACATTTTAACAATCCTTGCGTTTACTGACCAAGAAGCTGTTAAGATATAAAATATATTATAATAATGTACATACCCTCTATATGTTTGAAAACTGGATGTCTTCATTTGACAGTGGGTTGTGTAATAAATGGAACAAAAGAATCACTGCTCATGCAACTAGAGTTGATGCCCAAATTATCATTTAGCTGACTTGAATCGAACTAGATCCAAATCTGATTTTTCAACCAGGTTCAACCCTAGACAATAGATAATTGTTTTTTTCAACCATATCAATATTGCAAAGGGACTGAAAGGAAAATACCTTTAAATAAAGGGAGGAATGGGATTGAATACATATATGCATTTCCATTATATTTTCAACTGAAATCACAGCAACAATATTTTGTTTCCTCTGTCAACTCATAAAATTGAACAGCACAATTAAAAATGTATGACTGAAATATATGATGCATACCTTCCTATTGCCTTATTACAACAGCCTAGAGCCAGGACTGTAGTTGGAGCCATCCCACCAAAAGCTAGTGACATTTTCTGAACCTTTTGCTCATCATCCAGTCTCACTTTCATCCCAGCATTAACGATGGCAATGTCATCTTCTTTCCTATTAGCTTGCTTGTATGCATAGAAATACTCTTTCTAAAAGAAGAAGGTATTTTTAGCAAAGAATTAAGCTAAGGATGGTACTGTTTCATATCTAGTGGCTTATAATGCTATAAACAAGGCCACTACAAGGGTCTATGTTTTATATGTAAACTCAAAATGAATTCTATGAATAAAAAAATTTAATATTTCAAACATGTATGAGAATCAATACACACCTGATATTTATTTTAATTCAGCAACAAACTCAAACAGTATTTTCTGAACCATTTGTACAATATATCATACCTCAGATGTGTAGGGAATGAAAATAGAGACCAGTATTTCATCAGGTCGCACGATGTTCTTTCTATATGCTGTATAGAAATTTTCATCAAATGCTACCTTTCTGGAACCCTCTGAAAATGAATATCAACATTGTTTATGGCTTCCTCTTGGGGTACTAGTTAAAATGGCTTATGTTCCTGTTGACAATTTAGATTAGATACGTTTCAAAAATGAAACAGATTTCTTTTACCTCAGTAGTGGTTCAATCTGCAACAAATGAGTGCCTTGTATGCTGATAACATATTGTTAGCTATTGGCATATAAAATGTGGACCAGATCTAGTAACGGTATTTAAGTCATTAAAAATAACATTTCATTCCATGAAAAATGGCAGCTTTTGAATTCAGGGGTCATCCTGAAAATCTTCTTCTGTGTAGAGGTCCTATAAACCTAAGACATCAGTAAATAAAATTTGAACAGAATCACAGGCTGGTATCGAAAAATTTGTCCGCTGTGACGGAGCGTGCTATTTTGCATAGAAACACTAAGAAACCAACACAATTTATTTTTTACTCATATGTTTCGCTATACCAAAGAAAGTTTCTTACTCAGTGCAATGGGTATATCATTTGCGGGTAACTTTAACTTTTGTTTGAAGTCCAACAACGCTAAGAGTAAGAGCTATTGAAAACGGCGCCGGGGTATCATGCTCCAAAATGTACCATTTCTTTTATTTCTTTTTAATGGTACAATATAGCGACACAATAATATTATGTATAATGAAGAAATAAATATTTAATGAAAAAATAGATATGTGTTTGTAATATTGGTATTAACTTAAGATTAAAAAGTGTCACTATCTCTTTCATTTTTCAACAAATATAGGCTCACGTGACATATGACGCGGGGCAGTCAATTTTGATCTATCGTAGACCATATCAGTATCAAACTGCCGATATTTCAACCTCGTCTTGCGAGGCCATTTTTATTTGAAACATCTTGAATTTGGTGTCAAAATAAAGCTGGTCACGCCCACTTTCAGAGTTATCAATGAATCATTTACTACGACTACTATATTCATTTAGGAGGCGTGTAAAGTTAACCAATCAGAAAGACAATTGCTCCATATATGACAGTTCATTAACATATTCAGTGTTTACTATTGTTTTTCGCGTCATGACAACACGAGTAGTAACCAATCAAAATGCCGTATTTTATCACGTGAGTTCAGAGTGACATGCACGACATGTAAGTTTAGTCTGAGCTGATCGCGATGTTGAACAATTTCTTCTCGGAATTTGTCCAGAGAAATCAGCGATTCTAAATTAAGGTAGGATCTACCATTTCTTCCTGTACAAGTTTTAACTTATCTCTATCGAATCCTAAAGTTTTGGATGAAGATATGAAGCATACGTTTAAAAACGAAGCGATTAATTTGACGATCTGATTTTGCAATTTGCAATGGCCAATTCTGCAAGTCTGCGTGTATTTGACAAGAGATAGCGCCAAGTCTTGTATCCGAATGCTTGTTAAGCCACTCAAAAACAAGATCCATATTTTCTAAATTTGATAACTTTGCAGAGAGCCCGTTTTCATAACCTGTTTTCCGCGTCTAAATTCAAACTGAGTAGGATTATAGGATCGCTGGGATTCTCAGTCAATGGCAACGGGTCTTCATTCCAGAACGCACATTTTTTTAGTTGATTCTCCATAGTACTTGTCTAAAGTCCATATCTGCTCTTTTACTGGCATACTTGGACATATTTCCCCTCCTTAAATTGTCCTCCTTAAATAACACCCTCTCGCCGATTTATATATAGCCATTTCCCAGAACCCGGGAGTCAGAATCGCTGATGTTTGCCATATTGAACATGTTGAAATATGTACTGTAATATCTGTAATACTAGGCATTGCCTGCTACGCGTAAGGGTCACGTGACTAGCGCGATACAGGAAAAATGGGGAATTTCGAAACAACAATTTTTGGGCACTTTTATTGCAAATTTCAGGTATTTATAAGTGTTTGTGGTATAAAATATAATCCACAGACATAAATGAACATCCAAACTACATATTTTATTACGTTTTGGAGCCTTTTTTGCTTTTAAAATGACATCTTTAAGGATAATTCTGAAGGTATTAATGATATCTTGATGTATTGGGTATTTTTAATATTTTTTATAAAAAATAATGTTTACATTTTTTGTCCGCTTTGACGGAGCAGTTTTAACTGTGAACTACGTTAAGAATTTAAGATTCAAATTATACCTTTTAAAAGTACCATAAGAAGAGAGAACGTCACAAATCACTTTCCTAAATTATGACAAGTAGCCTCTGGGAGATCTGGGGTAATGTAAATCTGAGATATAAAAACTCTTAGCATTTTTCGGAGGTTTGTACTAAAATCAACATGAATCAACATGGTGTAAACTCAACATAATATTTCTAATACGTTTTCGCCAAGACGTCTTAGAATGTCACGTGTAGTGTAAATTGTTACGCGGAATATGGCATACATTCATGGTTGCGCGGTATTTGTGATACGGGTGAATATGCCATACTCACCTGCGGTATATGGCATATTCCGCAGGTGAGTATGCGATATTCCGCAGTGAATATGTGATGCATTGAATTCAGTGAATACCCGATACTCACCTTCAGAATTTGTCATACTCACTTGCGGAATATGCCATATACAGCAGTTGAATATGACATATTCCGCAGGTGAAAAACGTGATACAGAAAGACTTGGTTTGATTGCGAGAATCGACTCTGAATGTAATCCTGGATTGATTGGGTAAGTTTATTACGTGAGATTGGTGAGTGATACTTCTGCATACGTTGATGTATTTTATAAACTGTACTGTTGATTCAGTAATCATTTTAATAATTTATAAAGTTTTACTTGTTCGTCCAATCGATGCAATTGACAATTGCATACTTCCGTATCACGTTCTCATTGGTTAGTGTGTATACCATATACCACAGGTGAATCTGTCATACACCGCAAGTGAATATGGCATATTCGTTGCGGAATATGGCATATTTTTGTATCATGTTTACCGCGTAACATAAATAGGGATAATATGAATTTATTCGAAATAGCGCAGACATCCTGCATTCCGACAGATGTATAACCTTTTACCACATAATATTACTGTATATAAGTTACCATAAAAAATGATCATGTCAGGTGATGGATCCACAGTAGGCACAACGAAAGGCAAATACCCTATACTGAAATAAAGTTGACTATATCATTTTCATGAGTTACCATGCATAACTTGGATTACAGTACAAACTAAGAAAAGAAGCTTAAAGAGTTGTCGTATATACATCTCAGAATTTGAATAACGCAGATGCGAGTAGGTAGTTACCAATTTCACCACCAGGTGGCTCGTTCGGGTCAGATAGCATGGCGGGTATAGTAGAAAGTTCCCTTTAACTTAAATTACATCTGTTCTAGTGGTTTAATTTTCATATAAACCTTATGTATCTAATAATTATGCAAATTAAAAAATGTCCAGTAAAGGAAAATGTTATTTGTCGATTACAAGAAAAGATATTTCACTTTTTGTGACTTTGTAACATGGGGTCTATAGGGATTCAACCCGAACTAGAAATCACATTTTCAAAATAAATTAAATTTTCAAAGTTGATAAACAATTTTCGAAACCATATTTTTAGATGTACTTTTACATGTAGATTTCAAATATGACATCATTTTGACTGAATTTTCAATATTTAATGACGTAAATCAAGATTATTTCTACTCGCATCTAGTCTATTGTGTACTTTTATTTCGTTTTATTTTTCAGAATACTTTAAGAAAGAGATTTGATACGCTCCCTCCTCTAACGTGTAGTTATAAAGAGATATATTATAAATCTAAATTCTTAACGTATTTCAGATTTGAAACTGCTCCGTCACAGCGGACAAAAAATTTAAACATTATTTTTTATTGAAAAAATTAAAAATACCCAATACATAAAGATCTCATTAATACCTTCAGAGTTATGCTGAAAACATATGTAAATATTATTGTGTCGCTATATTGTATCATTAAAAAGAAATAAAAGAATTGGTACATTTTGGAGTATGATACTCCGACGCCGTTTTCAATAGCTTTTACTCATAGCGTTGTTGGACTTCAAACAGAAGTTAAAGTTACCCGCAAATGATATATTCATTGCATGGAGTCAGTAATTTTCTTTGATATAGCAAAACATATGAGTAAAAAAATAAATTGTGTGGATTTCCTAGTGTTTCTATGCAAAATAGCACGCTCCGTCACAGCGGACAATTTTTTCGATACCAGCCTGTGAGAATTGATAAACTGGTTTTCAAAAAGTGGTGCTCATTTTGAATTTAACTGTCAAGTTGGATATTCTATTCAAGTAGAGTTCCTATGCCCTTTACATCCTCTTACTTATTGCTGACAAACCCCGAGATATCTCGTCTGTGACGTCAATGCCGTCCAATAATTGTAACACAATTTGTACTAATAATCTTACTAGTATCAAATATTGTAGGTGTCACTAGGGGAACATGGGTGGGTCCAATTGAAACATATTGTCATTGGCTTCACAATATTTGCATAAAACAGCGCAGAGAGTGTGGATACTGTCCATTTAATGCAAATATGAAAACATGCAATTTTGCTCAATTCTTCATCAATATAGCCAGTCACCAGCAGAAAACCTACAAAATAGCTTTGGTCAGCAACTAGTTAATCTCTCTCTCATAATCCAATATATATGGAATCAAATTGTTTTCTAACTTAAGGTAAAACACCAACTTTTCTGCTTAATCATGAAAATTTTGATGTAAAATTACAATACAAATTCAGTGATCTCCCCAGCATTAAAGCAAGTGGGTGCAGCACTCACCTGAGACTTGGTATGCACCCACTCGAGAAAAAACCTGTGAAAAACACTGCAAAATGTTGTTTCTTAGGTCTCCAGATAAATATCACCTAAATGCAAAGAGGGACAAGTATTAATAAGCCACCTTTTTGGTTCAGACTTTAAATGGTAATTCTAAATGTTCAACATATTCTAGCTCAATCTTCAGAATAGCAAAATTGCAGAAACGCACTGCACCTTTGAACTAAGCAACTATTCTTCCAATTGAGCAGCTGTACTATGCTAAGGATGTCGAAGACAAGACATATGCATACAAAATATGATTACCAAATTCTCTCTTAAAAGCACACAGTGAGCTACCCAAATTAACATGGAAAATAGTGAAATATTGAGAAATTCTAAAGACCACACTAAAAAAAAGTTATTGCCAATAAATGGAAATCAATTTGTTTCAACTTCTTTTTAGTCATCATCATTACTCGATAGATACTCTATTTCCTCCATATCACATTCTCTGCAGAAAATGATATTGTAATCAAAGGGATATTAAAAAGACCTGCTGGAAAAAGTGTAAAATCTGGTTTGCTGGTAAATCAATTTTTAATTTTCCTGAGATTTTACTGAGGGGGATTCGATGGGTTAGAGCGAATCCCCCCCACTAGCCAAAAATTATTTCAAAAGCATGCAGTTTTTCACCATTCTGAGCACTAACCATGCCATGCATATTTCCTAAAAGGTCAAACAGTTTTGTTTTCAGGATAATTGTCTGTTTTTTAGTTATGTGGTAAATCATATTGGACACCCCTTTTTTCTCATGAATTTGAACATTTCTGCACCTTAAATTTTCAATAATTTCCATATTTGATCAGAGTTCTTCATTCTTTATTCTGAAAATAAAATTAGGATTGTAAGTGAAACATTAGCATCTTTTTGAAAAGATTGTTTCTAAAACTTTTTCTCTATCATTCTACTTAGTATTAATAAATCAGGTATATGATATCTTGCATAGGCATCTAAATATAAGCATATGTACAGCAGTTACAAAATGAAACTTTTCTCATTAGAAATAGACTAGATGCGAGTAGAAATAATTTTGATTTAAGTCAATAAATATTGAAAATTCATCTAGAACCACTAAAACTGATGAATATTAAATATATAAGCACTTGTGCCAAAGGGAAAGGACCAAAAGTTGTATTTGAACTAAGCAAGAAAAAGCAAACTCTAAGTGCATACAAGTCAAGAAAAACAAACCCCATATAGCCCAAAACCATGATCTAACGTGAAAGGAAACAATGTCTAATACCCCCTTTCCCCCCACCATTCAAGAAACCAATATCACAATCCAAGACCAGAAGACCAAGGGACATTTCATTCATACTGAAGTCATTACAATACATGTTGAAGAAAAAAATAGAAATTGATAGCCAATTGATAGCCAATACTCATAACCTCAAAAATAGTTGTAGACACAAGTACTCATACATGAGGGATAGATAAAATCCAGTCAGTTAAAGTTAGAGGGGACTTTCTACTATACCCACCATGCTATCTGACCCGAATGAGCCACCAGGTGGTGAAACTGATAACTACCTACTCGCATTTGAGTTATTGCCCTTAATTTTGTATCGCCAATTTTTTTTACCAAGTGAGCTTTCCTACACCAGTTGAGAGTCATAATGTACTTGTTAATCTGCCGTATATAAAATAGGAAATAATACATGTAAAGTATGTATTCTAAATATTAAGAAATCCTCCTCAAAAATTTTAATTAAAATGAAATCCATGTACATGTACTAGTAAACGATCAAACCTCAGAGTTAAATGACCAATCCTAAAAGCTTAATTATATTTCATTACATCAAGTGGATAAAAATAAATCCTTCCACATGTAGGTCAAATTAAAAATTATGTTTAATTAATCTATGCTGTTTTATTAATAAACATAGGCCTGAAGGAGCATTTGGGATTGTAAGGTTTGGTTTCTTGCTTGGGGTGCCTGGTGTGACTTGTATAAAATCTCAAATTTCACTTGAAAATCATTCACTTTATCAGGTCAGACAGATACTAAGGTAAGAAAATTAATATACAATACAATACAATACAATACAATACAATACAATAAGGCTATTTAAGAAATAAATATGTGCCTTATATTTTATATTTGCCTTATTATTTAAGTTTTTGAAAATAATCAAAATATAATCAAATATAAAGATTTCCTGATTTAAATTTCTTAATATGACCATGTTTCAGAATCTCTCTCAAAATGCTTAAGTTTGTGTGCCTCTTCGCCCTTGTGACCATTGCCTGTGCTGCTCCCCGTAGCTACGGATATGGAGATGATGAGAACCGTGATGGTGTCCCAGATTCCCTTGATGCCAACCGTGATGGCAAAGTAGACTACGGATATGGATATCCCAGAAATGGCTATGGATACAGAAGCTATGGATACCAGGCCCGTGGTTACGGATACGTCCCATATGGAGATGGCTATCCATATGCCAATGTTGGACCCAACAAAGCTGTTGTTAAGTCCCCATCTGGTTTAGTTGTTGGAGACAATGGTGGTTACATTGATGCCCAGACCGGAAAGGTTGTTGGACCCAATGGATATGTGGCACCCCAGGGATACGGATATGGATATTAAAGTGAGTTTCTGTTGAACTTTTTACTAAAATGTTGTTTGAAATCATCATTCAAAAATGTCAAGTACCTAAATTCTAATTTTCTAATAATTCTAATCTCGGTGATTACATATTAATCTAACTGTACATATTTTGATTTTACTGTTCTACTTCCAAATGCATTTTCTTTGCATTTCAGACATGCTCCATAATTTCATACTTCACATTACATCATATTTCACAATCATCAGACACCACAGAAGACTTTGCCGATTACTACTTGCATACAACATTAAACATTCAAATTTAGTGTAAAATGATTTGTTGAAAATAAAAATGAAAACTAACTTATCACATTTTGTTCAATTAAGTGATTTTTTAATAACAACACAATTACAGATGTACAGTGATATAGAGAACCACATCTTTTATCTCAACAAAAACAATGCATTAACATGCAAAATGTCACAACCTGCCATTTGTTACAGACACTGACCAACCATCACCAACCACCATCCACAAAAAAAGTTGGAGACTTTAACAATATGCTACCTCCTGTGGTGATGACATTATACAGCCAACTTACCACTTCAGTCTTAAATGTTCTTGAGTGTCCTTTTTGGGATATTTTTGAAACAAATCGGACCAAAAATTTAGCATTATTAGTAGCCAGCACTGATAGAGCATCGATGATGTTTTTAATAACCATGACTTCCAGGCTAGACTGGACGACCTCTTAAATTGAGCAGTTATATTATGTCCCCACCACATAGTGTGGGGCCATATTGTCTGGTTGTCTGTCTGTCCATCCGTACGTCCGGCAGTTTTCTCCAAAACCGCTACAGGTATCACCTTCAAATTTTCAGGAATAACTTGTGAGTGCATACAGATGTGGATGAAAAAAAATTAACTCGATAGCTACTTCCTGTCGGCCATTTTGAGGTCAAATGCTAAAATCCTTGTCTGCAAACTTTAAGAAAAACGGCTTCACAGTTGCTTTTAAAACGTTCTGGGTAAATGTCAAGGCAGCCATTTTGGATTTTCCGTCCTTAAATCTTGTCTGTAAAGTCTTGTCTACGCATTTCCAGATGAACCGTTTGTTAGATCTATTTCAAATTTTCAGGGATGATTCTTAGTATGAAAATCTAGATCTGATTTGGTTTTTGCCATTCTGGATAAATGTCAAGGCAGCCATTTTGGATATTCCGTCTTAAAATCTTGCCTCTAAAATCTTGTCTACGCGTTTTTGGCTGAACCATTTGGTAGATCAATATCGAATTTTCAGAGATGATTCTTAGTATGAAAATCAAAATTTGATTAGTTTTTTGGCATTCTGGGTAAATGTCAAGGCAGCCATTTTGGACTTTCTGTCCTAAAATCTTGTCTGTAAAGTCTTATCTACACGTTTTCAGGTGAACTGTTTGGTAGATCAATTTCAAATTTTCAGGGATGATTCTTAGTATAAAATCTAGAACTGATGAGTTTTTTGACATTCTGGGTAAATGTCAAGGCAGCCATTTTGGATTTGTCATCCTAAAATCTTGTCTGTAAAGTCTTGTTTAACTGTTTGACGGATCAATTTCAAATTTTCAGGGGTAGTTCTTAGTATGAAAATCTAGAACTAACTATTTTTGGGGGATTTTTGGGGTAAATTTTAAGGCGGCCATTTTGGATTTTCAGTCCTCAAATTGTGTCAGTAAAGTCTTGTCTACTCATTTTCAGGATAACCATTTGACCGGATCACCCATTGGTGGGGACATTTTGTACACATTTGTGTTCTTGTTTTGAATTAAGTTCACTAACTGGTCTATAAGTTATCAAAATTACATTTTTCATGAAAATGAAGGGCTTGAAGGGCATTCTTTAGCAGCCATAATGGAAGTTCCTCTCGAGAAAGTAGAGGTCCTACTCCTCTAAGCCATTGGCATATAAAATGTGGACCAGATCCAATAACGGTATTTAAGTCACCAAAAATTACATTTCATTTCATGAAAAATGGCAGCTTTTGAATTCAGGGGTCATCCTGAAAATCGTCTTCTGTGTAGAGGTGATGTAAACCTAAGGCATCAGTAAATAAAATTTGAACAGAATTCATTAACTGGTTTTCAAGAATTGGTGGCCATTTTGAATTTAGCTGTCATGTTGAATATTTCTTTTCAAGTAGAGTTCCTATGCCCTTTATATCCTCTTAATCCCTCTCCCATACTCCAATATATATGGAATCAAATTGTTTTTTAACTTAAGTAAAAAACACCATCTTTTCTGCTTAATCATGAAAATTTTGATGTAAAATTACAATACAATTCAGTATCTCCCCAGAATTAAAGTAATTGGGTGCAGCACCCACCTCCTCCTCACTCCAGAAACCACAGATGTGTAAGTTGGGTTGTTTATAAAAATTGGAAAATCAAACTGAACATATTCAAAATCATACATCTTATGCAACACATCATGTTCCTGAATAAAAATGACAAAAAATATGATTTTGTTTTTTTGGTGGACAAAAAGAATGTAAAAGCACTTAATCCAACCATAAGCTTCCAGAATGTATGATCTTACCTAAGGATTGTAAAGTCAATGTACTGCCAGCAGCCATGAAAATTGGGTTAAGGTCAGATATAGGACTACCAGTCATTATGTTTCCACCAATTGCCTAAAGTATAAATAGAATTATTCAAGCTGGAAGTTACTAGTACTGTATGCAAGGTAATAATGTTCAATTGCTAAACAGTAACATGGCAATAAGTTGACAAAATGCCACCACCTAGTTGCTCACAATATTTTGAGTTCAATCTTTATAGAGTATGAGACAGATTTGAACTTCTGAGAAGTTGTGGATGATTTCGAAAAGAAAAACTGGACAATTTCAGGCAAGTTGAAAAAGACCTTTATGACCTTTTTTGATCTTGAGAAAATCATTGAAGGTCAAATCTCAAATCTTAAGTCAGATTTGAACTTCTGAGAACTTGTAGCTGATTTTGAAAAAATTGAAGTCCGTCTAAACAGTATTTGTTATTGGAAGTTGTAAGAAATTGTTACAGACACCAACCACCATCACAAAAAACAGAGACCATAACTTTTGGTAGTGACATAGAAATAGTATTACTATATATAAGACACAGGGATCATGATTTCCATTGAATTCTTTTCATTTTCCAACGTATTTATGAAAACAGATATCTTGTTCTTCTATATGTACATAGCCTGGGTACCTACCGCAACATTTCTGATTTGTTGTCCAGCAAACCACTGCAACATCTCGTTGATGGCAACCATCACCCTTGTTTCATATTCTAAAATAAAGTGTTTCTTTGCTAATGTGAGGGAAATAAGTCTCATGAAAGAAAAAAAAAGAAACTGAGAATATGATAGCCATGTTATAGTGAGGTATTCAATCAAGTGACTAAATACTGATTTTAGAACAGAGTAGATAGATTGTCTTCGTGTCACTTCAAGCCCTTGTGACCCCTCCTCTATTTCACTCCTGGTGTGTAGATGATAATAATATCTTACACTTTTTTTTCATTTTAAAAAATAAAAAATTGAAATACATCTCAGAAAATGCACCATTGTAAAAAGTGAACATTTAATTTAAACATCATTCACTTTTGTGATTCCCGTTTACGTGTTGCTTTTACCTTTAAGTTGCTTTCTTTTCTCTTGGAATGAATCGTGGATAGCATTAAGTGTAGTAGATGCACCAATTGTTACCCCTGTATGGCTATACTCTATGCAGGTTAACTCTGGGACATGGGTTGCTGATATGAGAACAGGGTAATGTAGTCCCTTGAACTTGGTCTCTACACCTAGAAGCACATTGTGGCCAGTAAATTGAATTGGAAATAGATCTTTTGAAAGTCTATATTTATTTTGTTTTTATTAATGCTCTTATTTTACTTACAATACACTGCAAGGATCAGAAAGAAGTGTAGACAGTGGTTTCAGTAACTTTGTGTACAAGGGGCAGATGAAAAATACAAGAGGCGGCATTCAAAATAACCAATTTTACGCTCCCGACAATGCAAATTCTTGTTATTTTAGAGTCCATGGACTGAAAGAAAGATGTCCAAGGTTTGTCAAAGTCATTTCCACGTGTGATGTGACAAGACATGGGCTCCACAAAATAACACCTGGAACTGTGGAATGACTAGGGCAACTTATATAGAATGTCATTTACCTTTTATAAGATAACTTACCCTTACACAGGTTGCATTTCACAAATCCAAATGCACCCGTTGAATTGAACACTTTTAATAGAACTCAAAATCTAGAATTGTCATTATTAAAATGAGAGTGATGTATTAATAGATAATTCACTTGTGATTATGTGTATATCAGATTCATTTTAGTTTTTACCGCCTCCAGACATTGCCAGAAATGGTGACATACAGGGTGTTCCAAAAGTAACAGGACTGGTGCCGGTATTTTGTTAAATATGCACCAATTGTCTTCAAAATTTTACATAATGTACCTTCATGTTTTGTAACTAAAATTGCCGAATTATATAATTATTGTCGAAATTGATTTAGAAATCGGCCGATGACTAATCATCGGCCGGCGCCCGGCGCATATGTGGCCAAGGCATTAGAGAGAGACCGAGGTGGGAGATATCCCCCTCCCCTCTACACCAAACTTGTTCTCACTACGTTTTCGAAAATTGCCTGAAAGGCCTCCTCACACATTATTAAGGAAAACATATCTACACATTTTGCGCATTTAACCATTTGATAACATATTGTGGATCTAATCTTAATTTGTTAATGTGAATTCACACCTTCATTTGCATGGAAGACTTTGATAAAATCCTTTAATGATGATTTTTGTTAGAAAGCTGATGTTTGGCTACTTCGAAATTCCAAATTGAACAGTCTACTAAGAATATCATGTTGTAAATATTGTTTTCAATATGTCGAGCTAGGACTGCTCAAACAAATTCGCTTTTTGTAGCTACAAGTATCTAATTTCAATAGATGATAAACTTCTCAATATAAGAAATTACCCTCATATAAGACATTGTTGCAAGGTGTGTTGCAATGAATGTGGCACCCCGCATTCCCGGGCCCGCATTATGTATTCTCGAAGAAAGCCATCATGATAAGCCATGACATCTCATTTCTTCTCAGCCCTGTGTTTCAGGTGAAACAGAAAGATGCCATGAGTATCAGAATGGAAGAAAGCATATATTTGCATTGATGGTGTATAGATAGTTATTTTATATAGTGTTTCTAGTTGTACGTGGAAACCTATTCTAACCAGGAAGAATATTGCAACATTTTTCAAGATCCTAAAGTTGCAATTCTCGTTATTGTGTTTCATTGTAAAGAAGCACCTGTGAAAATGCGTCGCTTGTACAAAGGCGTAGTTCTACATAAATTTAAGATACACTTTTTTAAACTTGTACGTGAACGTGTAGAATTATGGACCTGGTGGATTTTTTCTCCCTTTTGTACTGTTAATACTTGGCCGGTTGAGTATATAAAGGTATACATGTCCCAGCTTTTGGTAAGTGGGGGTCAAACCTCCTCCCCCCATCCACACATACACTTTTTATCATGCTTAAGTAACTTCGCATTGTAATTACAAGGGTATTATAAACGAGACACCAGGATGATAATGTCGGGGTACAATATATTTTGAGAAAATTAGGGCCCAAATCTTGAGAAAGAGTCGAAGGCATGCGAGGCGAATTCTGGAAACTCGGGTTCGAGAAAGCGGGGTTCACTGTTTGGTTCCGTTGACACCTGTGCGAAACTACATTCATAATTTATCCGACAGTCGCTTTGATAATGTTTCTTTATCTCGTCTGCGACTCGATAAAGAGGAATTATTAAATCTCATCAAGAATGGACGATCTTGCACAGGTACTCATATAAAAACCTCTATATCTTTTTAACACCAATATATAACGGACACACCATGTTAAAAATAAAATGTTATATCTAATGTGTATCGAAAATATTTTCAACCTAAGTGACCACATCGTGACATCACTTAGGTGGCAACATTTTTCAATGTCAATCTTTTCTAAATATGCTAAACAATAAACCAATTTTGACTGTCTAACCAGGTTAAAAGGATGAATATGTTTTTAATATTAGTTTACCATTGGTTTCTATGAGAATTAAAATTTTGAAATGCATCTTTCCCTGAACCACTTTCATGCATGGATGAGTTCATTGCTCGCTCACCTATCAACCAATTTTCTTGATTTTGTCGGCAAAAGAACAAGTGAGGATGATTGCTATACATCGGTGTGAATTATCGCTTTAAAGGATTAGTGTGACCTCTTAAAGTTAGTTTTGAATAAATTCACGATATTTTAAACAAAAAGTCCTTCAAAAACATTTTTGAAATTAATAAAAAGTTTCACATTTCACGCTTTGATAACATTGGATAAGACAAAAATATAAGCCAAAGTGGTTAAAACTTTATATGGGGCCTTTAAAGTGCCCGATAAAGTATAAAATGCGCATGCGTCCAGGTGTTGATAAACTATAAATAGCGAAAACCCAGGGTTTGTCACCACAAGGTAAGCTAGGACGTGTTGAGAGAACAGCTAGTGTTGATATTGAATTTATATGTAGCCAGATAAGTTTCCTTATTGAAATTACATATGGTTATTAGCAATACTTTGTAGGTGCTAAATAATAAAATATTTAGAGTATATATGAGAGAAATTGGTCACTTCGAACCTGTTGAAAAGTTTGTGGCTCTCGGCTACACCGGGGAATTTACTTCAATGAGTACATACATAAATGTGGGGTTCCCCAAGAGGTACGCCACAAGGTGACCTGGCATCAAATGTGCGACTAACTGGTACTATCGAGAAGATTAAATAACGAATACGACAATAAGTTATTGCATGTGACGAGCCTTCATCTCACTGAAGTATTTTGAAGTGAAAATAGGATTTTTGTTTTGATACATGGATTCAGATGAACGTAACTTTATTCTGACAACTAATCAAAACTGAACAAAACTGATTGTACGTAACAGACAATTTATTGTTTTACAATGTTTTGATTGGCTAAACGAATGAAACCAACAAATTATGACATGTAAAATGACAATTTTGAAATGTAAAATTTAAAAGTGACAAACACAACCTCCCTATCCACTCTTTGGGAGCCCTAGTAAATTAGTAATATGCATGCAGCAGTGGTAGTGTGCAGCTAATTATCACACTACGCTTTGTATTCTAAAGCCTGTTGTTTGTAATAACACTGTTCACTCAACGTATGTTTTGTGTGTGGGCAGTCAACGATAATCATTGTTTTATCCCGGTTATATGACCTCGGCAATTATAACAAAACCGTACTAAACGAAAAAACGCAAATAAGAGAAAGCTTTCACACACATATAAAAAATGAACTAGTCTAATCCGCCAGTATAAACTCTGTGCTATACGTAGCCGGGTCAGGCGCACACTTTAACTGATTAATACAATTTTACACCCATTGGAAGGACTGTACTTACCCTTTGCATTCGTTTGACTTCACTTCTTAAAAGAGAGCTTCTTCGTCTTCAGTAGTTTAACTAGACTCTGCACGCACTGACGCAGGGTAGACTGTACTGTGACTGGTTGGACAGAGTTGTATCAATCATACATGTAACTGCATGTCCAGTGAAAAATAACCAACTCTGATTATACCAAAGGTTGGAATTTGAATTATCATGCACATGATAGTGGTCAGATAGTGATCTAAAATCCATAGCCCAAACAGGTACAAAATTGGACGGTGTTTACTACTATAATGAGATCAAGTGATCCTTACGATTATAGTGAGTTCCATTGCAGTTCGAAACTGAGGTACAAATCATAGACAAGGAAGTGCAAAACAAGATCGCTGAATAAAATAAAGGATAGTCTATAGAAGACTTATATTTTCCCCCAAAACTTAGACAATATTTGACTTCTAACAAACGGCGAATTATCGAAAACAAACGGCGATTTCGGACACTCGCCCCCTGCTATTGAAAGCCCAGGTAGAGAAAGATAACAAAACCTAAAGATTTATCAACAAACTTCTAAATTGGCTGCTTGAAAATAAGATGACCAGTAGATCACCCAAAAGTGAATAAACTGTAGAACTTAGAACCCTCCAACACGTGTATGAATAAAATCTTACAAGAGTTATTCTGAAACTGTCGTGGCAATAAAGTGGGACCCACTCATGATCATACAAACAGTCACCATAATGACAACAATATCCCATCTGTGCTTTGATATGAAGAATATCACTTTACGTAAGAGATGAAAAATTATACCTATTTCAGTATTTCCACACACAAGTTTAGCATTGGGATTGTTGGCTTTCACATCAAGGAGTTGGGCTATAGTGACAGGTCTGAACCATGACGTGCGCTCACCCCGAAATGACATCATCATTTTGTCATATTTATCTGTAAGCTGAAACCAAACATTCATACAATATTAGTCTGAAGTACAGTTTATCATGACTACTAAGTGGTAACACAGTTTTTTGCTTTGACTCAATGACTTCTGTATTTTGGCTTAAACTCTACTCAATTTCCATGGCTTCTTTCCATGGCTTCTTAGCAAGTTAACATTTGTAAATGAAAAATGATGTTTATTAAGTTTGAGTCAAATAATTCTTCAATTTGCCAGTCTTACTTGAAGTTCACTTGGGAATATTGGTTCCTGAGTTGGGTCATAAGATGTAAATGTCGTATCTTTGTCTAAGCCATTTTCCTGCAAAATGGAAATGGAAACATCATACAAATCCTATGTATTGCTTTTATATGCATATTATGGTCCTGAGTAATGACTTGCATTTTGTATTGGCAGTCTGGTCATGCAATTATGCAAATATGTTTAGTGCTGGAAACTCATTCTGATTTCTTTCTGTTTCACCTGAAACATGATCTCAGGGCTGGGAAAAAATGAGATGTCATGGTTTATCATGATTGGGAAAACTGCACACAAGTTTAACTGTTATTGCAACACCAGAGAGGTGTTCTCACACATAAGTTTAACTGTAATACAACATAGTTCTTTTGACCTGAATCTGCATATCTTCAGCTGGTTTATTTCTACAGCAGTTTTCTCCCATCTGACATTTGAACTCTTTGGTGAAAGTTTTGAATCCGTCCAGGATGGGTCTATATCCTGTACAGCGACAGAGATTTCCTGAAAACATAAGATTGTTACTTTTTGTTTATGTGTAGTGTTCATCAATGTGTTTTATAGGAAAGATTAACAATCTCTAGAGATTACGTAAGGATGTTAAAGTTACACATGGAGTTTAATTCCTGTCAATATCTTCAGGATAACATATGTGGTATACACTGAGGAGTTTAGATAAAGGGTATATAAGAAGAAAATATTGATTTTAACTGAAGAACGTAGAAATAAATATTTTAAAGAAATATTCTTTAAAATTTTTAAAGAAATTGCTCCAAAGACTCCATTTTCACATATTTTTCATTTTATATGGAAATGTATAGATCTTCAGAATAAACCCTGTATTCAATACTGAGCAAAATCCTTTATGTTCATATTTATTTAACACTTTGTGTCTGAAATGTCCTAGATCATATGTGAGTTCAGAAACATAATGACTCACCTTCAAAGGCATGTTGCATCTGATTGGTTGAAGGGAGGGGCGTGTTCCTCAGTAAAGTATACATAGACATGACAATCCCCGGAGTACAGAACCCGCACTGAGACCCATGACTTCTACTTATACGCTCCTAAAAACATACATGTAAAACCGGATCACATTAAGTATGCTTGTCAGGCCCAAAGCCAGCTTTTGTCAAGGGGGTTCACTTTTAAAAATTCAAGGGGGGGGTTGAGCACTTTGGCCCAAAATCACTTGACAAGTGCTCGGAATGGTGGAAAGCTGCATAATTTACAAAGAAACCTTGATCAAGGGGGTTCGCTAGCACTCCCTGGCTACGGGTCTGCTTGTTCCCCATCACCAGAGTCACAAAGGACGATTCTCGGTTTGGAGAACGAAGTTCATCAATCAAAATGAGCATTATCCCTGCTTCGGACAAATTTTTTTACATAATATAGATTTGAATGTCCTCTTTTGAATAGTCATAATTTAATTTGGGTAATATTTCTTGATTTTTCGCAAAAAAATATTAGCGCAGTACACTGATGAACTTCTTTCCCCAAATCGAGACTTGTATTTTATTGAATCGGTCTAGTTGAGCGTTGTCCCTGCTTCAGACCAATTTGTTATTTTTACATCTTGTAGAATTAAATGTCCTTTTTTGAATATTCATCGTTTAATTTGGGTAATATTTCTATATTTTTCATGAAAGCAATTATTAGCCCAAACCGAGAATCGTCCTTTTGCTGTATACATGTATATGTCATTCAGTTCTTCCCCATGCATTTTCTCACGTTATCACAATGTGACATTCTGGTAGAACATTATCTATACTGCCAGTATAATATGACATAACCTTATCTTTATTGGTATGATATAACCTTGACTTTAGAGTCAATAAATTTTAGAGGCCAAAATTTTTCTCCAGGTTTTATTTTGATCAATCTGAATTCAATTTGTTAGTGGGAGAACTAAAATAACATATCAGTACAAACAGTAAGGCAATCAATCTGTAGCTCCAAAATACCCCCCCCCCAAACAAGGTATTAACATGCAAAATGTCAGCACCTGCCATTTGTTACAGATGCCAACCACTAAACACCAACTGCCAAACACCAACCACTGAATGCCAAACACAATCCAAAAAAAGTTGGGGATTATAACAATATGTCACCACTTCTTTTGGTGATAAAATAAACTCCCAACTTTCAAATTGATAAACCAGACATTAACAAATCACAAAAGCCAACCACATGAGTTTATCAGATAAAATAAAAGACAGAAATTATTCATCAGCGTGGTATGGTTAGAATAGTAAAGTTAAGTTATCTTCATGATTTTATTTATCTAATTTAATTTTGGGACATCCAGAGAATTAATACAATGCCATACAAAGTCAACAAAATTAAACCAAAAATGTGCATATGTCATGTGTTTAACACTTGTCAAGGAGTCCTTATCTTTTTATATCACAGTTTTGTTGTTGTGAACTTTGTACCTTGTTCAGGTATACAAGGAGAGCAAAAGTGGATTTAATCTGGTCAATGAGCCATATATTATACTTTTGTTATTATTGAATCTTGAAGGACAAATACAGCACACATAAAATATCATAGTCATATTCAATTAACCCCAGACGGTTAATGTCCTAAAGGACACTGGAGACATCACCTGAACAGGTGATGTTCCCAAATCTTTAGTATTTGGCCCCAGGCTTTTGCCACATAAGAAATCTTATGATCAGACATCAATATACATGTATTAAAATCATTGTCAGGAAATTCATGAAAACATGGACTTTTATTTGGAAGCTTTAAAAACAAGTCATTTCTTGAATCAGAGTAAAATTGACATATCAAGATAAAATGGTGTTCATCCTCTTTGGCATTGATATCACAAAAAGAACAAAGTCTTTCAGGGACTGGCAAACGTATATGAAACGTCCAGTTTCAATTCGCAGGGGGGCTACACCACACCTCAGAGAGGCTAGCGCTTTCCTATCCTGCATGCCAAAATGAGATGTGAGATAAGGCTCGGTGCATTAATCCTGCTTGAACGTTCTGTAGGTTATCAATTTGTTCCCTTGGCCTTCTGTACATCTACCATCAGATATCAATTCAATAGACGAGTCAAAGAGTGTGTCCTTGAACAAGCAGCCATGGTAATAACATGACCATGTACATGCACACAATGAATTGGCGACAAGATCTCATTGACATTTGATAATTGTATAATATGTCTACAGTTTTAGTTTCATTTTAGTTGACATGGCATGGCAATTCAATAACCTTGAAAGAACAAAAACACAGTATGGGAGAAGGGATACCAGATATTTTAAGCCCTCTGGGAATTACTGTTGGCCGTTGTAGACATGCATTACAAGTGTATGGTGATGTACAATACTGATATCACCATCACCTGCTTTTTAATATTATCCCTCGGGCCTCAGTGCATGTAAAAACTTCTTCAGGGATCCCAAGCTCATAGGATAGCCAACTGAATGCTCAGTTTGTGATGGACATTGGCTGTCTGTAACTCAATTAATGTTTCAATTTGACCTTTAACGACCTTTATGTCCTCTTTTGTGATTTCGGAGCAGTAGATATTGAAACAGCTATGAGATTATAAAACTGAAAACAGTTTCTGGACCACCTTGTATATGTAAAGAAAATGTGTATCACGAAATAAAGCATTGATGAATCTGACCTGTACTGGATGGAGGCGTGTCTTTGTTGAGCCAATCCCCTCTACTGTAGTAACTGCCATTCCATGTACTGAACAAACAGGTGCTAGGCAAGCATTCACAGAAAAATGTCTTCAAGTTAAAGAAAATGTCAGTCCTATATTGAATGGAGAACACAAAAACAAATAATAAATATACCTTTTTGAAATGCCATGTTTTAAGACTTATATTAGGTAATCACGTTTACTTCAAAATCAAGCAATTACCCCATACATTGTACCAATTAAATAACGCAGATGCGAGTAAGTAGTTACCAGTTTCACCACCAGGTGGCTTGTTCGGGTCAGATAGCGAGTATAGTGGAAAGTTCCCTTTAACTTAAATTACATCTGTTTTAGTGGTTCAATTCTCATATAACCATTATGTATCTGATTGTTATGTAAATTAAAATACGTCCAGTAAAAGAAAATGTTATCTGTCCATATACAAGAAAAGATATTTCACTTTTTGTGATTTTGTAACATTGCGTCTATGGGGAATCAACCCGAACTAAAAGTCACATTTTCAAAAAAAATTAAATTTTCAAAGTTGATAAACAGTTTTCGAAACCATATTTCTAGATGTACTTTTACATGAAGATTTGGAATATGACATCACTTTGGCTGATTTTTGAATATTTAATGACGTAAATCAAGATTAATTTTACTCGCATCTGGTCTATTCAAAGGATACTGAATCTGTTTTGATTGTCTGTCGTATCTTGAGATCATCACTGTGCAGGCTCCGCATCCTCCTTCTCCACATCCTAGCTTACTTCCTGTCAGCTTTACTTCAATTTTGTCAAGGAATACAACTAAATTTGCTAGTTAGCTACATGTATATATTCATCCATGCATAAATTAATATTTAATGATAGAGAACCCTCACTTCCTCGTCATCGTCATCTTTTCCTTCATATTTTCATTTTTCTTATCATAAACTTGCTTTATACACCTTTTTTTCAAATTAAGGTTTTGCTTTATGTGTATTTTCTTTATTTTGTAAATTGTACAATTAATTTATGCAATAAATACTGGGAAAGGAAAAAACGAAAAAACTTAGGAAGTTCTATGATCATTAACTTCAATGATTGAATTGAACTTCAATGATCATTATTCTAAGTGCTTCAAATGTACAGACATTATTCCTAATTAATAAGTTGCATTTTAATCTCAATGACTTTCTTTGAGAGAGCTGAATGCTTGTTTATGGCTGTTGAATATATGACTGACTATAAAGAGGTCCAAATTAAAGGTGCTACAAATAGTGCAGGGGGCCATTCAATGTTCATCGACAAGTGTCAAAATATATTTAGGTTTGGATATTTCATCAAGAATAACATATATTTTCATTATCTACAAAGAAACCCTCTGGATGAACATTATTTCAGCTGATATTCCTCTTGAAACATGGTGGATCTTAAAAATCTATAAGTGGGACTCCCTTTATAGAAGCTTTGAATTGAATTTACACTTCTTAATGCTGAAATTGATAGTTTATACATACATTTGATGAAAATAGGTATGTCAAAGAAGGTATTAAGCCAAATATTGACCTGATAGCTCAGAAAAAATAAAAAAATTTGAATTTTCTCTCTACAGTCCTTATTGCCCCTTTAAGGATACACTTATTTCTGATGTAGCTCAGTAGTGTTTCTTCAGGCTCAGGGTTATCATCTGTAATCTAGAAATAAGAAAACATAATATTGGAGAGATATGTGACAGTGTGATTGTTCCATACACATAAGGAGGATAGGATTCTCATGTTGAAGATATTGATAAATTGGGAGATGTATTGATAAAGGAGACATGTACTGAATACTGATAAAGGGGAGATGTACTAATAAATGGGAGCTGTATTGATAAAGGAGTGTACTGAATACTGATAAAGGGGAGATGTACTAATTAATAAAAGAGATAGGTACTGATAAATGGGAGCTTAATAAAAAAGGAGACATGTACTGATAAAGGGGAGCTGTACTAATAAAAGAGAGATGTACTAATAAATGGGAGCTGAAAAGGGATATGAACTTATCCACATATGTACACATAGGGAAGATGTACTAATGAAAGTGAGATATATTGATAAGACAGAGATGTACTTCTAAATGGGAAATGCACTTATAAGAGGACTTGCACAGGGGAGGTGTACTTAAAAAGAGGAGCTGAGATGTATTGACAAAACAGAGATGTACTGATAAAGGAATTAGGGCTGTAGAAGGGATGTATTTAAAGGGAAGATGTACCAATAAAAGAGAGATGTATTGATAAGACGGAGATGTACTTCTAAATGGGAAATGTACTTATAAGAGGACTTGCACAGGGGAGGTGTACTTAAAAAGAGGAGCTGAGATGTATTGATAAAACAGAGATGTACTGATAAAGGAATTAGGGCTGTAGAAGGGATGTATTTAACGGGAAGATGTACCAATAAAAGAGAGATGTATTGATAAGACGGAGATGTACTGATAAAGGAATTAGGGCTGTAGGAGGGATGTATTTAACGGGAAGATGTACTAATAAAAGAGAGATGTATTGATAAGACGGAGTTGTAATTCTATATGGAAAATGTACTTAAAAGAGGACTTGTACTAACAATAGGGAGGTGTACTTTTAAGGTGAGATGTATTGATAAAAGAGAGATGCACAGATGATTGGGAGCAAGGGAGGTGTATTAATAAAGGGGTATGTACTTATAAAGGGAAGATGTATTGATAAAGGAAAGATGTATTGATAAATTTAAGATGTACTAATAAATGAGAGATGTACTCAAAAAGGACAAGTACAAATAAAGGGGAGATGTATTGATAAACAGGAGATGGACTTCTAAAGGAGATATGTATTAATAAAGAGGAGATGTTCTGATAAAGAGAATGTGTACTAAAGAAGAGGAAATGTAGTAATAAAGGGGAGATACATTAATAAAGGGGAGAAGTTTACATAGGGAAGATGTACTAATAAAGGGGAAATGTACTCTAAAGGAGAGATGTACTAAAGCCACTAAATAGAAATTTACTATAGACATAGACATACCCACTAATAAAGGCGAGAGATATAAAGGAAGAATGTACTAATAAATGGGAGACGTACTTATAAATGAGAGATATATTGATAAAGGAGAGATGTACTAATGTAATAGATCTAAAGGGGATAATTTATGTACTTACATCATCTCCAATTTTTTTTAAAGTTAAGAGGAATATACTGACAGGGGAGAATATCAATTATGAATATGAAGCAAATACTGGTTCAACAATCGTTCCAAATTATACCTCTAGATTTGACTACACTGCCAAATGCATAATATAAGAATTCAACATTTTTGTAAGGGCAAATTAAAAATAAATTAAAATTGTATACTTCTTTTACTTACCTTTTTCCCATTGACGAAGAACACCAAAGTGTTTCCAGACTGCTCAAGTCCCGCCATATGCTCGATAAAATATTCATGAAACGGTTAAGAACGATAAAAGTACCTTAAAGAAGAGTTTGACTGAATAATAGCAGACCACTAAAAACTTTATGACTTTTAAACTGTTTCAACGTCCTTGACCTCAGGGGTTAAAGCAACATCCGGGCAATTTCAAAATGTCAGCTTCCATGAAAATTTAGAACATTTTATAAAATTTCTTGTTAAACGTTTTGCACGTGTTTCAAATCGTATTACTGCACAATGTTTGCCTCCAGCGATAGAGATTATCATATTGAATACGACAGCCCCATAGAAGCATCTGATAGGTAAGTATAGATCGAAAACAAGTCTAGAACTCATATTTTTTTCTGAGATCGAATCGGATTTTATCAAGATTTCAAATTATTTTAGATACAAGACTTTGGTATGCTTTGGATTGTATGGATTCAGCAATTTGTGTAACATTATGAAAAAGACATTCTGTCACATACAGTGGGGATCATAAAGAATTGCAAAAACTATGAAAATTACATGCTGTCGCACATGTAATAAATTCTTACCTCAGTGTATTCAGTGCTCTATTTTCTCCGTCTTAGTAAGTCCAAATATAGTGGAATTTGTGTCCCTAATGACAAATAAGAACTTCAAAAGTTGAATTGGATATTCACATGTTATGCCGACTCTTCAAATGTTGAGGTGATTTTGTCGCCCGATTGCGCCGGCATGGAGGATTGGCTCCCAGAATGCAACATGACACGTGCCAGCTTACAAAATGCTGTTCCGCCATTTTGAATCCTGTCATGAGTAAATACTTAACTGATGTTGCATTCTGGGAGTCAACCGTCCTTGGATAACAAACATGGCGATCCATGAAAACATTCATTCGATTTGGTAGGGATTTATCCATTATTTGCAGGTAAGAAGCTTTGGATTAATTTATTGTGCTACTTTAGTGAACGGGAATTATTTTTCTACCGCTTGGGAGAGTTTGAGACACGAAACTTGGAAATAAGCTCATTGTGACAACTTGTGAACGTTGAGTTTTATTTTTGTCCCCCATTGTATGTCATAAATTCTTACCTCAGTGTATTCAGGTGAAATTGAATGCTCTATTTTCTCCGTCCCGAAATGTACAAATATAGTTGAATTTGTGTCCATAATCATAGTTGGAACTTATAAATTTGAAGTGATATTCACATGTAATGCCGACACTTCAAATGTTGAGGTGATTTTGGAGCCCAATTACACCGCAAGGAGGATTGGCTCCCAGAAAGCAACATGACACATGCCAGCTTTCACCGGTCACAAGTAAATAAGGTTAACTTATGTTGCATTCTGGGAGTCAATCCTCCTTGGATCACGAACATGGCGATTCATGAAAACATTAGTTTGATTTGGTAGGAATTTATCCATCATTTGCAGGTATGAAGCTTTGGATTCATTTATTGTTCTACTTAGAGTGAACAGGAATTATTTTTCTACCACTTGGGAGAGTTTGAGACATGAAACTTAGAATTTAGGTCATTGTTACAACTTTTGATGGTTGTGGTTTATTAATGTCTCCCACTGTATATGTAGTTGGCAATATGGTTGTCATGCAGTTGAGTTCCTGTACTCCCATAAATGTTAGGGTTGATTTGCGTTGACGTACGTCAGGTTCACATTTTAGGTTGGTAAGTCCCTGTGGAGCCCTGTGGGTGTGATGTCAATCATGGGCTTTCATGAAACTGCATGTGCCAATTAACCTAAAAAATAAGCAATCAAGACCAAAGTGAAATACTATGTGGAAAAATACATTCATATTTTACACGCAAAACATTTGTATATTTCAGATAAATAAATTTTATGTGCAATAAACCTGTAGCCACTTGTAAGTTTGGTAGTTTGAGCCATGTTAATTTTTTGAAACATTGGCATCGAAGCATCAAAATATAAAGCCTTACATACACCATTGCGGCATGGTAGGACCTTTATAGACTTATGGTTTCCAAGGAGCATCATTAATTGGACTTTTAATCATGTGATTTGTCAGGTGACTTGGGATCAAAATGGCCGCGACTAAACCTTTTTAATTAAATTATATCCTTTCTTTATTTCTAGGTTATATTGCAACTGTTGCTATAATTGTTTTCAGTTCGGATGATGAGATCCACATGTTCCTTCATGGCACACCCGAGCAAAAGCGACGAATCAGACGCCGAAGTTTGGGACAACCATCATCTAGTGATGAGGATGACTTTGAGAAGCAAATGGATCAAGAGTTGACGGCAACTGTGTTAGGATTGGAGAAAAGGCGCAGAGAAATTAAAGAAGGTAATTCACATGATATGCATATATCGATGAAAAGGCTGTAAAAAAATGTTTAACAATCAAGGCCAATCCTCCATTTACTTCATTGGAATGTCAGACGCACTTGCAATATTTGATAATATGGCATGTAAAACAGAAAAAATGCTCGGAGGAGGATTGTATGATTATTGCAAGAAAACTCTATGATGTGTAAAAAACTTTCTCTTCATAATTCTGTTTTTTGAAGCTGTTTCCATGCTGTATGTTTTACTACTACTTCTAAAAATTAAGCCCAATGTCCTGTCTAAGGACATCATATCATCATTGGGAATATATACAAAATCCTCATTATCTCAGAAGAACTCATGTTGATCGAGTCTCAACAAGTACATTCACAAACAAAAAATCACACAAAGATACATTGTTTTACACAGCATCTGACAGTGAAGCTGAGGCTCCTGGGACAAGTAATGGAGCAGTGGGAGGACCTGCAAAAGATGGAACAGCAAAAACTGTTGCAGAAGAGTTTTACGATGATATTTACTTTGACTCTGATGATGAAACTGAAGGTCTGTATCCAGGGAAACATTCAAATAATTATCTCTTAAATGTAGTCAATTTTAATTGGTGCACAGGGCTTTGAATCATATGTTTTGTGAATAATTGTGTGGGTGTTTCATTAAAGCATAAATAAAACTGTCTTATGTGCAGAGTTGATTCCAAAGAATTACTCAAACAGTATTAACTGTATAAATATCATTTAATATTTAAAATACAGGATCTAAAAAGAAACAGCCGAAGATGACCAACGATGATCTCCTCTATGACCCTGATCAGGATGATGCAAACCAGAGATGGGTAGATGCTCATAGATCTCATGGAGCACCAGTAGGGCCATCTGGTGACAAGAAAAAGACTCGTGCAGCTCCCTCTAGTGATGCAGTGTTGGACTGCCCTGCATGTTTAACAACATTATGTATAGACTGTCAGAGGTAAATGTGCCACAGTTGGATACAACACAATTTCGAAAAAATATTTAAAATATTATTTTGTCATGGCCCCATGAATTTATTACACACAAAATTGTAGACTTTTATGGAATTTTGATCAACCAATAATTAATGGTTTTAAAATAGTGCTATAAAATATTGATTTTCATGTCTCTCAACATCTTGTTATAGTCTCCAACTTTTTTGTGGATGGGATTCAGCGATCAGCATTGGGCATCTGTAACAAATGGCAGGTGGTGACATTGTGCATGTTAATGCTTGTATTTCGTTCCAGTATCAACTCGATTCTAGACATTTTGGTTTGGCCTAATTATATTAAACTAAACATAGATTTTTATCTTAATACTGTGTATGAGATACAGAGATGTATTTTATTATCCCACTGAACAAAGTTCGTAGGGATGCTAGTCAATCCATTATTTCAATATGGCTACTCAGTTCAAAATGGCTGCCATTTTTCATAAAAACTTTAATCTTTGATAACTTAAATATCAATTAACAGATAAGGTTCACCTTTATTATGCTAATGTCTAGAAACATAAGAGCTCTGCTCAAGAAGAAATTTTCGAGATGTGAAATGTGGAACAACGTGATTTTTGATAACTTAAATGATAAACAATTTGTGTCTGTAATTGGATCAAAATAGGCTAATTTTATGGCCAAAAGAACTCGGTTCAGGGAACAGTTTAAATCTCTACTGTAGCATGATGATAAATAAATATTTAAGGAATTGTGAATCATCAATGTCTCTAATTTATTTTCTTCAACTTTTGTAGTCATTACAATTTTAATGAAGGAATACAAGCCAATGTTTTATAATTATGGTAATAATTTTATGTTATGTAGGACAGCTGATTTTTGTTGTAATTGTTAAAATACCAAAATTCCATATTTAGGAGTCTATGCTAACAGTTGAATTAAATCTGATAATCTATCTAATAATAGAAGCTGGCAATGAATGGGCAGAATAAATCATAGAAACAAAAGTCTTTATTATAATTCTAATAAAATAAACAACTTCTCAACTCCATATACTTACAGCCTGTATTTGGGGGTCATGAAAGTGTTCCCCTATGCCTTCCCAATATAGTTTGTCTCATTGTGTCATCACAATGTGGAGGATAATCTTATTTTGGACAAACTTTCATGTCAATTTTTTTGAAGGAATAATGATAATTGTTAGGTGTGGCAATTTTGTTTGGCCAGAAGAACCATGTCACACACTCTGCAAGAGCAGGGCAATTAGCATTAGTACTATAAAAACCAAACAGATTTGAATATTGGCACGCATTATACCACCAAGCCCCTTTGCGAAAAACAGCACAATTGATGCTGTATTCATCATGATCACGGTCCTTTGTGGTAAATTGCATACCATTGTGGTAAGTAAGTGAGTCCCCTGCAGTTCCAGTATAACCTCCAATTGTCAATCTATAGTTATCACGTTCATCACTAATATCAAATATGGAGTATTCAGCATGACGTGTTTCACTCTGTGGGGGCCACATGGTAAGATCAACTCTGAGACTGTAGTTGCCTTGATTTAATAGACCATGAAGGTTGTTCAGGCCAATGAAATATTCTCCTTCTGGGTTCCCGAATCCTGACTGATACTCGACCCAGCCTCTGTAGAAATCAACACTCCCATCAAATCGCCTTGCTATGTAGACACACCCACCACTACAGTACACTTTGAATGCATTTTGTTCCTGGGGTTGGATAGTTTTGACACCAGTAAAATGTTTACTTTCAGTACAGTCATGAGCCAAAGCAACTGAAAAGCACAATATAGTGCTGAATCTGCAGACATATTCTATATTGATACATGTATTGCAAAATGTGACATGTGTATTTTTTGTTAGATGATCCCAGAATGCACAATTTTCAGTTTTTGTACACTGAACAAAATTTCACAAATTTACCTGAACTTGTCGTTGTGATGTTGTTAAATGGTTGTGGACTTGTGCCCTGGTTAGTGTTGTCTGTGACAGCATCTGAAAACAGGTATTTTTAGTTTATGGAATCATTAGTGTAACTGTCTTATTAGGTGTACTTTTTGTCATTTCTAAATTAATTTGAAGTTATTTGCTCAATTTTGTCCTCCTCTTAAAATCCCCGTCTAAAGTTTGAAAATATTTTTTTATCATTCATTTACTATTCGTCAGGACTTATAAAATGATTTTAGAGATTTTTGAACAAAAAAAAATTTTTGAAAAAAAAGTTTGTGAGCATTTCATTTCTCAAATTTTCAAATTTCCCGCCATTTTTCAAAAAAATTTGAAATTTCTTAATCATCAAATATTTCTTAATGCATTTCAAAAAAGATTATCTTTTTAACACCAATGCAAAGATTGAACAAAGGACACACTATTTCAATAATAAAATGCCATATTTAATGGGCCACTTCAATGTTTTAGCATATCAAAAATATTTTGAAACATTAGTGATGTCACTACTAAGGTATCAAAAACTTGAAATTTTTTTTTCGATGTCAATCTTTTCTAAATATGCTAGACTTTCATACAAAACCAATGTTGATTGTCTAACCAGGTTAAAAGGAAGAATGAATTATGTTTTAGATATCATTGTACCATTGGTTTCTATGAGAACTAAAATTTTGAAATGCATTTTTCTCAGAACCATTTTCATGCACTGATAAGTTCATTTCTCGCTTGTTTATCAACCAATTTTCTTAATTTTTTCGGCAAAAAACATGGGAGGATGAATGCTATGCATTGGTATGAATCGTGGCTAATTAGAAGATATGAGGGACCTCTAAAAGTTGGTTTTAAATAAATTCACAAATTTTGGAACAAAAAGTCTATCAAAAACCACTTTTTGAAATTTAAAAAAAAGTTTCACATATCACACTTTGATAACATTGGGTAAGACTACAATATAAGCCAAAGTGGTTTAAACTTTACATGGGGCCTTTAATAGATTCTTGTGATTTAATTAGAGCTAGAATGCAAAATAGATACCGGTAATTGATCTAAATAATAAATGCAGTACTTAACCTGTTGTTTCACATCGTGAATTGTTCTGCATCCTTTCCAAGTGATCCCTTATAAGAGTGACATCATCTTTTATTTCATCTACCTTATTGTACACCTCTTCAACATTGTCATTATTTTTGATGGGAGAGTTTTGTGTCTCTGTTATAAAATTGTTCAGTTTTGCATCAAGCCTTTGTATATCTGTTTTCATCTCTTCAACATCAATTTTTATTTCTTCAGCTCTGTTGTTCACTTTTTCAATGGCTCCCCTTGTCTTTGTGAGATTATTCTTGATGTCTTCAACATTGACTTGCAGTGTATCATCTTCTTCATTTTTGGTACAGCAATTTTGTGTTTCTGTTTTGATTTCACTTAGCTGTGTGCTCAAATGTGCATCAAGGTTGTCAATATTGTAGGTTCATCATCAAGGTTGTAGTATAATTATGTTAAATAATCTAAGTCAAACTATCAGGTCTGGAAACGACTATCACCTGGATCTTTCTCTCTGTGCTGTAGTATAATTCAACTTTGATTATGTGAAATAATCTAAGTCAAACTATCAGTTTTGTACACGGCTATCACCTGGATCCTCCTCAATGTAGATGTATATTCTAACTTCAATGACACAAAATCATCAAAGTCAAAATATCTCGCTGGATAATCTGCTAAGTCCTAGAACGTCCTCTCTGTAGATGTATATTCTAACTTCAATGACCCAAAATCATCAAAGTCAAAATATCTCGCTTGATAATCTGCTAAGTCCTGGAACGTCCTCTCTATAGATGTATATTCTAACTTCAATGACCCAAAATCATCAAAGTCAAAATATCTCGTTGGATAAACTGCTAAGTCCTGGAACCTCTTCAATGTAGATGTATAAGTCAAACTATCACAATCTTCAAACTACCAAGTCCAAGAACTTCTAATACACGGCATCAACTGCTAAGTCCATGTAGCCTACTTCCTTCACAATTAAATAATAAGGCTACCTACAAATATAGCATGCACACAACGACATATGCAAATATATAACATGTGAAAATATTTGCCCTTTAAAATTGACTAAGTTAATTTAATGTTAAGTGATACTGATATTAAAATATTCTAAGTTCAATATTTCTCTTTCCAAAAACAACAAAGTCCAAAATAATATTTCACCAAATATTGACTAAGTTAATTTCATACTAAGTTATACTGATGTTAAAATATTCTAAGTTAAATATTTCTATCTCCAAAAATAACAAAGTCCAAAATAATGTTTCACCAAATACTGACTAAGTCCAATAATGTTGTAAATCGTCTAAGTTCCTTGATGATCAAAATAGCTTGTTTCTCAAACACAAGTTATGTCAGCATTTCCTCTCAGTCTATGAAGGCTGGACAATACGTCTAATGCTTTGCGCTGGGGATAGCTTCACCCTGTCGAAGTTTTGTCCAGTCTTGTAGATCTTCCTTACTTCCAGTGCGGTAAATAAACTAAGTCTCGCACACTTAGCTACATCAAAGTTTCCAAAAATCCAAGTTCCAAAATAAACTAAGTTCCTCACACTTAGTTTCCTCAATCTGCCCTTGTATACTGCAAACGTATAGCTTGGCTCATCAGATGTATTCTACTAAGGTACAGCTTCTATCTTCATGTGTATACTGCAAACGTATAGCTTCAAGACCACAAAATCAACTAAGTTCTATAAAACTTAGAAGATTTTAGCTGTTTCCCGAAATTCCGCTCTGGAGGTCCTTCCTCGACAACATCTGGCATCGCACTGACGATCCTTCAACAGCGAGATACTTATATAGGCCGGATGACGTCATCGATTTTCGTACAAGATTTCAACTGTGAATTACAGCTTATTTACGCCATATTTCGCTTCAATATTGATCATACAGCAAGATTATAATATTGACTCAAGAAATATAACAGTAATTAATCACTATCTAGTCTAATTTCACTTCGATTCAATCGAATCAAAAGCAGGAAGTAAAATAATAAAGGTGTCATGTTAGACTACCGATCAACTACAAATTAGACTGCCAGATAAGACTGCCCGATCAACATAAACAAAATCGTGATCAAATAAATAAAACATGCGAACTGTTTCACCTCTGTAAGTACAACCTAAGTGCTGCAAATGATACTACATTTATAAATCTTAATAATCTCAATGGGAAATTACTTTCCAGGTGTAATAATTACCTAATGTACAAAAATACAGCACTTTATTAAAAATCAAAAATTTTACATTTAAAATTCCGTTACACTCCCCCCTACCAAGATATTGGTACGTCCTCGTACCAAACTAAGACATAAATGTACTTTCTAACTAACTATAAAAACTTACAAAATATCTAACTTGCCAAAAATGTTTAACATGTCAAATATGTTAACCTGTCAAATGTGTTCAACCCCGGGGTTAACTAACTATCAATACAATGTTCAAGTTTCTAACTACTTGAATATCTAACTATCTAAAGTTATCTAGATATCTAACAAGTTAACACCTAACTATGTTTCACTTCACATATTTAAAATTATACTCATGTGAATTTACTCTCTCTTGTAGCGCTTCCTGGATGATTGAGACCTGGACTTCCATCTACTGTCACGAGATCTGGATCTCCAATCACGATCCCTGCTAAGCCTTCTGTGACGTGGAAAACTGTCCAAAAGGTCTGCTTCACAAGTACGGTTTGACCTGTTAAGCTCATTTGTTGCTCTGTGTCTCAATCGGGAATGTCTATCAGAAAAATGAGCTGATCGCTTTCTGTCATGTCGGTATTCTGCTCTCCAATCATGTCTGTAATCAGGTGACTTTGAATACGGCCTCGACTGATGACTATCTCTGCTTGTTCCAGGTTGGTTATACACATCATTATTTTCAGAAACCTCAGCCACAAAATCATCCAAGTGTCTGGGACGTTTGCGCTCCCTCCTTGATGGTTTTTCATCCACTTCCTTCTTGGGCGATGTCTTGACAGTTTCCTTGGAGTCTGGAGTTACATCTTACTACTTTAGGCTCTTCTTCCTGATCCTTCCATTTCACAGTTTTAGAGATAGGCTTAGAAGAACATGGAACCTTGTCAGTAATTAACTCCTGCACGGGGTCATCTGTAAGAGGTTCCATAACTATCTCTGGCTGTGACTTTGGTATACGCCAATCATCTGGCAACTCAGCTTCATATGGCTTGAGCATATTAAAGTGAATAACTCTTGGTTTCTTGCCTTTGATCTGTATTCGATAGGTGACATCGGAGATCTTCTTTATGATTTGGAAAGGACCCTTCCATTTACTCTCCAATTTTGGCGACACTCCTTTCCTTTTGGTATTGTCCAAATACCAGACAGCATCTCCTTCACTGTAAGAATGTCCAGCCAACTTCCGATCATACGCCACCTTCTGTCTTTCTGCACTGAGTTTAAGTTTCGCTCGTGCACGATCATGGGCTTCACTAAGTTTCTCTCGTAAATCAGTGACATAGTCACTTTCCTCGGTATCCGTAGGTGGGACTTCAATTAATGTCTCCAGAGGAAGTTTCAGCTCTCTGCCGAGCATCAACATAGCTGGTGTCTCTCCTGTGGATTCATTTACTGCCGTTCTGTAGGCCATTAGTGCAAACGGAATTTGCAAATCCCAGTCTGTCTGGTGGGGTTCTGGCTGAAGGAGCTTAGCCAAAGAATCTAACAACGTCCGGTTGTAGCGCTCTATCATCCCATCCGACTGGGGATGGAATGGTGTTGTCCTCGTCTTTTCTATACCCAGCAAGTTGCACATCTCTTGAAAGACTTTCGCTTCAAAGTTACGTCCCTGATCGGAATGTAGGGTCGCAGGCATTCCTAGACGACATACAACTTCAGTCACTATCTTGTCAGCAACAGTACGGGCCTCTTGATTGGGTAAAGCAAAAGCCTCCATCCACTTGGAGAAATAGTCCCCACATACAAGTATAACTTTGTTTCCCCGTGGAGTTTCTGGGAAAGGCCCAAGGATATCTATGGCTATCCTTTCCATGGGATTACCAACTCCATGTGTTTTCATAGGGGCACGATATGGTTTCATGGGTTTCTTCCTTGCACCACAAATCTTGCAAGTTCGCACAACAGCTCGTACATCATTACGTTGTTCATGCCAATAGAACCGCTGTCGACTCCTCATGAATGTCTTCTTAATGCCAAAGTGTCCAGCAACTTTGTTACTGTGGCTCATCTCTAACACTATTGGCCTAAGAACTGCTGGTGCCAATATCTGAAGTGATGCAGTATTTCCTTCATCATCTTCCCAACTTCTGCATAAAACTCCCTTATTCAGCACAATGCGATCCCACTGATTCCAATAGTGCTTGATAGCTGCACTGTTATAGCTTATTTCATCCCAAGATGGTCTCGCTTCAGACTTAAGTTTTGCTTTCAGTATTGGCCCAATATCGGCATCTTCGGCTTGAGCCTCTGCTATCTTCTCTAAAGTCCACTCTGGATGGATAGCCACTGTTGTTATATCCTCGACACAAAACATGGTAGTCTCCTCTGGTATTTCACAGTGGTCACACTGTCGGCAGGGAATCCTGGACATCACATCCGCATTCTGGTGTTTGTTGCCGGGTCGAAACTCGAGTTCAAAATTGTACTCTTGAATCACCTGCAACCAACGAGCCAGTTGTCCCTCGGGATCCTTAAAGTTGATCAACCATCTCAGTGAACTATGATCCGTTCAGAGTTTAAAGTGGACTCCATACAGGTATTGTCGAAAGTAGCGCACATAGTTCACTGCAGCCAGCAACTCCCTCCTTGTAACACAGTAGTTTTTCTCTTGTTTATTGAGTCGCTTACTGGCATAATATATCACTCTTTCTTCTCCATCTTGAAGTTGAGATAGGACAGCACCAATAGACTCGTTACTGGCATCGGTATCAAGAATATAGGGGCAGTCATCTCTGGGATAAGCCAATATAGGAGCTGTGATAAGCTTCTGTTTCAGCATGTCAAATGCTACTTGGCAATCTCCATCCCAATAAAATCTTTGGTTTTTCTTCGTCAAGGCATGTAAGGGACCAGCAATCTTTGCAAAGTCTTGCACATGGCGCCTGTAGTATGATGCACCACCCAAGAATTGCCTAACTTCCTTGACGTTCTTTGGTGTTGGGTACTCAGCCATCTGCTGAACTTTCTTTGGATTTGGAGCAATCCCATTCTCCGACACTACGTGTCCTAAGTAATCCACTTCTCTCTGGAACAAGGAACACTTCCTCGGTTTGAGACGGAGACCTGCAGCTCTGAATCTGTCGAATACTTCTTGTAATCGATCCATACAGCCATCAAACGTTGGCGAAAACGTTATGACGTCATCCAAGTAGACAAGCGATGACTATGAGCTGAGTCCATGTAACACTTGTTCCATTAATCTCGAAAATGTAGAAGG